GTCCGACTTATCAAGAAATTTTTAAATATAAAAAAAAAGGGCTGGAAATTTTTGTCCGAGTTAGGCCAAATCCGACTAAAAAGATTTATAAAAAAATTTCTTTATTTGCCATTCGACAAAAAAGAACCAAATTATAATTAGAGATGGGAAATTTCAAAATTTCATGCGCATCATGCGCGTTTTATGCATTGCATGTTTTTAAAAAAATATAAAAATAAATATCTAAATACAATTTTCAATATTATTATCACTACCACTGCCTCCTTCTTCTTCACCATTTTCTATCCTAATTGTTTCATTATCATCATCACTTTTATCATTTTCGCTTCCCACATTTCCATCACCATCAATTGTAATATCCATATTATCATTGTTGGCATTTTTTGGACATTTTAATTTGTAATTAAAACAAATATACAACAATTTAAATCACATTCAGGTGCCAACAGTTTATTTCTCTTTTTATCATTTATAAAAGGAAAAGTAAACCAATTCCTTTTAGAAGCAAAGCTGATGAGATTATCAATCCTACCCAGTTTAACAAATGAGGCCAAAATTTTGATTTTTGTCATTTTCTTAAAAATACTATCGATAATATAATTATAATAACTTGTAAAAATTCAAATTCGCATTTTTTTTTTGAATAAAATTGTGTATGGGACATTGCATGACTTGAAAAAAAAATCATGCGCATGTCACATCTCTAGTTATAACCTATTATTTATGAAAGTAAGCATTACCACTACATGTTATAGAAAAAAAGGTATTACTGTTAATTTCTTCATTGTTATTTAGAGTTGTGATTAATTAATTCTATATAATATTGAAGAGTAGCAGATAAAGATTTACTTTAGATGCCTAAAATAATTTCTTTATTATCTAAATCTGTTATTTATACAAAATAGACGTCGTTATTATACATTCAAGGTAATAATTATTAACATACGTTGTGCTTTTGTTTTTGTTTCTTATTTATTTATTGATTTTTTCAATTTTTAAATCTCTATAATTTATGTTAAATATTAAAATGAAACTGAGGCGCGATAATATCTCTATTAAACAAATCATCTGTAAAGCTAAGCGTAAATGATCTTTAGGAGATGATGGGGGTATTTTTCAATTGATTACTTTAATAATAATTGATGTGTTCAAGCTCTCTTCTATGTGACTCGGTGATTTTAGGCACAGCAATAAATTAATAAATTAATATTCCAAAACAAGCTTGTGAAACATATATGTAGATTATTAATTCGATTACAAATTATTTCAAAAATAATTAATAATCTATGAACATTAAAATCTATAAATACAGCATGACATGCCTGGACAAAATATAATCATTCATTAAATACAAATCCTAATTATTCAACAACTATGGAACAAACAACTTTTACTACAGAAAATCGTGTATTACCATGTTATTACATCTCTCATGGTGGTGAGTATATTAATTAACACGTCCCAAGATATCATGTGACAAATGATGCGTGTATATATAATATTAGTTAATAATACAATAATGTATATATCATTAGGTCCACCATTGGTGTTAAATCATGATGATAAAGCCTATAACTTTCTGAAAAGTTGGGGAGAAAAGATTTTAAATGAGATAAAACCAAAAGCAATTGTTGTAATTTCGGCTCATTGGGAAACTGATGATACAATCAAAGGTATTATTTATTTACATATATATGATGAATATAAGAAATAACAATAATAATAATTGATGATTGCAATAGTTGGTAGTTTTGATAATACAACACCCATTATTTATGATTACTATGGGTTTCCTGATAAATTGTACAAACTAAAATATCATTCCAAAGGCTCTCCAGAATTAGCCAAGAAAATTGTGGATTTATTAAATGAGGTGATTATTATACATAATATTTGAATTGAAAAATTTCTTAAAGAAAACTAAAGGTTATTAATTGATCAATCTATAATTTATTTTTCATAGTCCAAAATCAAATCAGAAATTGAAAATAAACGTGGTTTAGATCATGGATGTTGGATTCCATTAAAAATTGCAATACCAGATCCTAAAGATTTACCAATTATACAAGTTTCTTTGAAACGTCATGCTTCATACGATTTTCACATTAAAGTTGGTAAAGCTTTGGCATCTTTAAGGTAGCTATTTTAATTCTAACGTTCCAATCCTAATTCCAATTCCAATTATAATAACTAATTTCTCAATTAAAAAGAAAACAAGGTGTTTTAATAATAGGATCTGGATCTTTGGTTCATAATCTGAGAGACATGAATATTCATATGTTTAGTTTGGCTCCTTATTCTCAACCATTTGAAAAAGACGTTGATTCTTATGTTACGAATTTTGTTGGTAATGAACGTGAACAAAAATTAATCAAAGATTTATCATCTCATCCTCTGTTAAGAAAAGCTCATCCAACCGATGATCATCTAGTTCCGTTACATTGTGCAGTTGGTTCTGCTGGTTCTGACCCCGGTAGGAAAATATATGAAGAATTAATAAGCTCTTTAAGCATGGGTGTTTATGAATTTGCCAAGAATTAATATTGAATTTATTAAATTTATTAAATTTATTATTGCATTTTTGTATTTTTATTTAATAGTTTGTATTTTTATTTTATTTACTTATTTGAACTTACTAATATCAATTTATATAGATTTATAAATGTGTAGATTTATGCATATCTATATATATATATTTGTAATAATGAATGAATAATAAATAAATGAATAATGAATACAATTCTTCTATTTATATGTATGCATGTATAAACATTGCTTTCTAGAATAATTGTTATGCTTTAGAAGGTGAATAATTAAGATCCCAGAATCCAGATGGTTCATCTTCAGGAATAAATTTGTATCGATGTCTTGATACATGTTGTTTACGAGCTTTTAAAAGTTCTTCGCTATCTTTTAAGTCTTCATGATTTTTTGCGTCGTTAATTGGTAATGGTGAATATATACTAGGTGGTAAAGGTAAGGCCCCTGTGATTTTATAAAACTAAAATAAATAAAAAAAAAATATTAATAATAATAAATATTTATAATTATTGAAAGATGATGGTATACTAACATCACGACATTCAATACAATCAGTAGCTTTTAATTTAGCACGTTCACTTTTCCTTCTTGTAACGGAAATGTATTTTGCAGGTTTTGATGAACAAGTATGACGCATGTGGGGCGGATTTGTCTCTTTTTAATGTGATAGAATTGAAGTTATAGATAGTGATTATTGGGTGATTTAGTGTAACATTAGATATGTAAAAAAAATTTTTAAATTTTGACGAATGAAATCCATAGATGATGATAAGTTTTTTAAAAATTATATCGGTGGAATTTTCTGGTACTAGCCAAATTTGAGAAATCATACGTACAAAGTTAAATCTCAAATTATATACGTATATATATACAGGTAACACAGTAACACATAAGAAAAAAGTTTATTTACTAACCAAATTTATATATGCTAACCAAATTTGGAAATGATATTATTATCCGTCGTAAAAATTTGGCTGATCGAATGGGTGGGTGGATTTCATTTTTGATGCCATTTTTGGTAGTTTTGATGCCCTCCATCCATTGAATGTGATTCATGTAAAAAATGTTTTGTAATAAAATCGTGTGTACATGTTTGTGGATTTTAAATTACACACGAGGTAGTATCGATCGTGAGTTTTATAATTAATTAAATTTTTTGTGTTATCATTAATATTGTAACACAAGTTGTGGATGGCTTTTTTTTTTGGAATTATTAAATTTAACCTCTAAAAAAACTTTTGTTATTTTAAATTTTTTAATAATTTTATTAGTTTTATTAATTTTATTATTAATTTTAATATACAAAAAAAAAAAAAATTATATATGATGGAGAGGGAATTCTTTCTATCTTTCTTGATTTAAGTACTATATAATATCTACAAGAAAAAATTAAAAAAAAAAGGGAGGGAGGAGAAAAAAACGAAATCTATAATGTCTTAATTAAAACGAAATTTTTTGTTTGTGTTCACGAAGAAAAATAGATAAAAAATAAATTAAAGATTACGAGATTATTATTAATTAAAATTAATACTTATATAATATATTCTTAAATATATCTTAAAAAAAAAATCATAATGTAAATATACATATTATATATGTATATCTTAATAATGCATTAATACGTATGTAACTATTATGACATAATCAATAGTTCAAAATCAGCGAAACAATGAGTATGATGTAACTATGAATATGATGTAATTATGTATATGATGTAATAATGAATATGATGATGTAATGATGTAAATTTTTAATTTGAAATCTTAAATTTCATAATGATAAGAATCAAACACTTTATTATTGTTAATATCATTATCAGAAGATATTAAATTAAAAAAAAGATTATCATTATTATTATCATTATTATTATTTGAATATATATTAAAAATGTTTTCAAGTGTATTATTATTACTAGTAACTGTTTCCGTATCATGCAGAGATAAGGAAGGAGAAGAAATACTAGAAATACTTTCATCAGAAGATAAATCTGGTGTGTGATGTAGATATTGTTGCAGATATTTAGCACCGTTATTGTCATTATTATTGTTTTCGAATAAGTTTTGTTCAGCGGTAGTAATTGGTTCTTGTAGCAACATTGAAAATGTCATCTGTTGATCTTGTTGCAATTGGTTATTGTTGCCATTTTGTTGTTGTTGATAATTTTGTTGATGTTGATTATAAAAAAATGAATTGAGTAAATCATTAAAATTATCTCCATTTTGAATATTTAAGAAATCTGAATTAAAAATGTCTTCATTTTCGTTGCTGTTATTATTATAATCTTGGATATTGAAATCAACAGTTTCGGGTGAATAAATTGGAGCGGAAATTCCAAACTGCGGATTATCCATATTGTTATTATTATAAATATTGTTGTTATAATTATAATAATTATAATTATTACTAATAATATTATTTTCCATGTTGTTATTATTGTTGTTATTATCGTTGTTGTTAATAATATCTGTGTTATTGCAGATCTTGTTTTTATTATTTTTCCTCTTGCTGTTATAATTATTATTATATATTGTTGTAGTTGTGTTGGTATCACTGTTAACTATTACACTGATGTCGTTACTATCTTCGTCCAATTCTTCATCGTCGTCATGATTCACTTCATAGTGTTTTAAGAGATTAGGACCTTGAAATGATACAACATTCCAAGTTTCCTTTCTTTTCTTCCTTTTATCTTTAGGGAACATTGCTTTCTTTTTCAAATGAGCTTCTTTTGAAATACGTTTGTATTCCGCTTTAACCTCCTCAGGCTCCTTTTCCCATGAAATTGAGGCCATAGAAGAGATTGCGGTCATTGGGAGATTATGACCTTCATCACGAGCAACTTTAACAAACACTTTACGATAGATAATGAATGCGTTAGGGGCACGTGATGGTTTGTGTGGTTCATCAAACAAAGAAAAAGATTTATTTGGTTGAAGTAATTCTGCAAGGTTAATTATAGGTGGGAATGGGATTTTAATTTGTGGAAATGACGATGATGATCTTTTAGTATTATTCATTGCGAAAAAAGAATCAAATTAAAAGTTAAATATGAATTCAAAAGTTTTAAAGTTTTAAAGTTTTTTAAAAAAAAGTTTTTTTTTTTTCTCTTTGTCTCTTTTAATGTTTTTTTATTTACTAATTACTTGTTACTTGAGTCTTTGGAATTGAAAATCAAAAAAAAAGCAAAAATCGGATATTTATACTTTTATTTTTTTTATTTAGGGTTGTTGTGTTCAATACGTCACAAAATTTTTAAACTAACTGTTTTAAAAATAGGACAAAAAAAATAAATAAATTATTTTTTCTGTATATTAAAACATTTTAATATTCTAAATTTAGACACTTATGATGTAAACATTAAATAATAAGGATAAAAATAAATTTTTTTCTAAACAAATTAGGAAATCAGACGATCTACAATATATTTTCGTGCATCGAAGATCGTACACGAATTTATTTTTATACTAGTACTCAAAATTCTATGATGCATTGTTTTGATTTAATTTAAATAATTGTTTCCGTTTGTTTTTTAAAACTATTTATAAATATTAAATAATGTTTGTTTATTTTTGACTTTTAGGAGATTATTATCTGAAACGCAAACGACGATGCCGACGGACAATTTAAAAAACCATTGAACCGTGTTTGACTGATTGGCTGGTTGGCTGGTTTGTTGGTTTGTAGGTTTGTTGGTTTGTTGGTTTGTTGGTTGGTTTGTTGGTTGGTTGGTTGGTTTGTTGGTTGGTTGATTCTAAATAATGATAAAAGCGTGAAACAATCGTTGAAGAAGTTCGATGAAAGCATGATAAAGATCAAAGAAAGTAATTGTTAGATGTTCGATACGAAAAAGAAAGAGTAAAAGAGGCTCTAAAGGATTTGTCACTTAATTGTTATAATTGCTATTATTATTAATGATCATAATAACGATCAAACAATTTCTAGTTGGATTAACGCATTGAAATATCTAGCCAGGATACTCTGGAAATATGGATGGATGTACGTACGTACATGCAGTACAATAATAATGTGATACTTCGCGTGTAAATTAACAACAATAATATGAAACACGTGATTGAACATGTTTTTTAATTTTAAGTTTAATTTAATTGTGACGTAGGCCCAACCATTATTTTATAATTAATTTAAAAAATTCAAAACCTAAAAATAAAAAGTCAACAAATAATTATGCAAGAGTTACAATTTAAAGTATTTATTTATATTACATTGTTTATATTTTGTAATACAAAATAAATAATCTAGGAAAGATATATTTTTTTAAATTAAGTAAGGATTTCATCATAAATACCGAGGGAGGCTTTAATTAATTAATTAATTAATTATCAAACAATGATTTAATTTAAAAATTACTACATAAATGGGAATAATAATTCCCAGGGTGCGTATCTGATCAAATAAATAGTTCCAAACCTGAAAAAGGAAATGTGATTTTTTCAATTCTCAGGGGTAAAAAAGATATGATCATACCATATAAAAAATTTCCTTTTCAAGGTTTTGCTATCTTTATATAGTTAAAAATATTTGTTGAAGAAATTAATAAATAATAAACATTACTCGTTATTATTATTACATCATTATTATTGTTATTGTTGTTTAGATTTTCGTCTATTGTAATTATTTTTGGATTAAAGCAAAAATAGTTATGCAAATATGATATTTGAAGATGAACTTCAAGGAATTGAAGAACAATAAAGAATTTCAGCCAAAGAAAGTATTATCAACAAAAAAAATTAGGACATTATTATATAATGCGGGAACAAAAATGGCAAAAGGCGAGATATTAGTGTTAGGATATGTTCATTTTGTGAACTCGTTTATGCACTCAAAAAAGGTGATAAAACGGCTTAACTTTTTATTAAATATTTTATCATGCATGCATGCGGAATAAATAAATGGGGTATGGTTCACAAAATAGAGGCGTCTTGGCACAGTCCCAAATGTTTTTATGTATTAGTATGTTAACGAGAATTTTCTAGAATAAGAATTATTTCGCAGGAATTCATTCATTAATATTATTATTAGTGTTGGTATTTTTCTCTCATCAAAATATAAAACAAAGATTATTTATTAATAAACACTTAAAAATCTATTCTGATGATAAATGAAAAGCTAATGAAAAAGCCAAGGTTTAGGCAGAATTTTAATTTTTTTCTAATTAAATTAAATTCCATATTCTATATTAATAAATTTCTCGTTTTTTAACATTAATATCTTGGAATCTTGGCGTTGCCTTCTACAAAAGTTCATTTATTATTAATAGAAATTGAATATTAACATGTAGCGTGATACGTAAACCTTAAATTGGTTCATTCATTGATTTATGCAAATATGGGACATAATACGCCGTCACAAAAATCATCTAAATATAGACAAATGGCTTAAATATGTAAATCTTATTAAATATGGTAATATCTTGGGCGAGGTCCTATTACCGTAAAAATCAAGAGCTGGTTATATAGGACGCAAACAAGCAGAAAGAGGTCATTGGGAATTTTATCAATGGGAACATTGCTTGCTATTAAAAAATGTCAATATGTCTCGCAAAATTTTTTATATTGTTTTCCCTATATTTCGTTAGCTCCTAAATTTTCAAGGTAATTTTAATTATTTTTTTTTCATGAAGTAAAGATCTTTTGATTTTCATTAATAGAAACAATATCTTACACAAACTTTTAGATAATATAAATTTTTTAGTGATGAAATAATAATAAATTGTTCTGCTCAGAGAAGAGAGTATGAAAATTCAAATCAAAAATCCAAAACCTAGTCATGGTAGAATGTCTGACACAGTAATAATTGATTCTAATTTAAACATTGAAATAATGCCGTAAAAGTAGTTGGTCCTCCAACATTTACAAATTAAACTAAATTTAAAAAGAAAAAGTGCAACTGTTGATACAATCAATTCAAATGTCAAGTAATGAATTAATATTTATTTATTATTATTATGGTTAAAAAAATATTATTTTTACTTGATAGACTTCATATAATAAATAATTCTATACATCAATCCTAGATAATAAGTATCTTTATCTACATTTTATTTTTAAATAATTAAATTTGATGACATCAATTTTTTTATAATCTATCTATTGATTTGTTACATAAGCAGGTGAAAAAATCAATTAACAAAATTAATAGGATTTAATAATTGAATTCTTAATACACAGACAGACTCGATAAGTCAGCCCGCAGTAATCAATTGTTTAAAGTACTCAATAGTATAAATTATGCGGCTGACTTATCGAGTCTGTCTGTATTAATTTATTAACTTTCTAATTCAAAGAAAGATTTGCGAAAATACTTCTCCTTTCGGAAAACGTGCAACAGCATAAGTTTTATAATGTAAGACCGAATACTTGATGTGGTAATTTCGTTTCAACGAATTATATGTGAAGCAACACGAAATTAATAAATGCCAAAATTGAGTTTTTTGCATAACGTACATCTATGTCATAAGGATTATAGTGAGATATAAGGCTTGAAATATTTACAAAAACATATGTAACCATTTTGATTTGATAATTACACGAAACAATTAATAATCTCGATCCCTTTTTTGCTGGGTGGACATCCCAAATGTCATATTCCCTGATAAACACCATTTACGTAGTTATGCAGATATCCTTAGACAATTAATTCATATATACTTATTTATGCATTTCTAGTACATATAGAAATTATTTATTTTGTAATAATATTAATTAATATTGTTACATTCAACAAACTTAATTCAATTATTATCATATTAACAAATAAATCATCATGAATTAACGTTCCTTAAAACTATCAGCCATAATATTGTGATAGTACTCCTATCCCTTCGTTCTGTACAAGATCCTATCCATAAAAGACTTTTCTTAATAATCCATCTGGTGTTCTATTTGACATGTCAGTATGCTCAAAAATTCGTACCGTTTCCTCATCAGTAATATTGGCTCCATTATAATCAGCATTATTGATTTCTTCCAATTCTATCATTCTGACATGTAATGTATCTAAATTCAAGATCTTCGTGTATACTAAATAATCAATCCTCTAGTTTTAAACATTTCTTGATAAAATCGATTTATAGCACATATTCCATTGTATGATTAATTTGCATTATATTCCTTTTTGTCTTTATGACTACAATCAATTCACATAACAACATTGCAATAATCTTTTTATCGAGAGTGAGTAAATCTACCTTTGTTTGTATGTCTTTTGCAAATTCTTCAAGTCTAGAAAACCATAGGCGTGTATTTTGTTGAGTATTATTAGGTTTGCATAATAACATATTTTTGTAAAGTTTCTATACAAGGACATTCATATGTTTCTTTAGAAATTGACGATTTTGAAATTCTTGGAAAGTTGAGCATTTTCTAAATGAGTTAGTCTTTCTTTTAATTCATTTATAATTTCAATGATTCTGAGGCTGTTTTAAAACTAGCCATTTTTTAAAAAAAGCCATAAATAAGCTACAAACAGAATTTATAACTGCGTAAATGGCAGGAGACAAAATTATTTTCCAGCAAAATTATTTCCTAACAATTTCTAAACTAATTTCGAATGGGTCAACATTATTAGTAATTTTACGAATAATAAATTTACGTTTATTCATAATATCAGATATTATTACAGTTTCAACGAATTTATTATTATTTATAAAATTCGCGTTACAACGAATTTTTGCTTCACATATAAAAATTCGTTGAAACGCGATAAGTAATTTTGGTATACTTGTTATTCAGTTATTTTATTTTTCACACGGTATATACCGATGATATATATCTATAAACTTTTTAAAGTTAAGGATTTTTTATGTAACATGTCACGGAGATCAATAGTAATGTAATGACGACCTACATTCGCTGGAGTGATAGTGTGCACTTAGAGAAACAAAGCATTTCATTGGTTGCACATGACACCAATAAAGAATAAAAATTTTTGCATAAAATAATAATTTATTAATTAATCATAACATCATTATCACTAAAAAAAATTTTTATATAATTATTGATTAAGATAATATTCTATTGTAGTTTGCCTCATTGTATTTATTGTTTTCAAACTAATATATTTATCAAGAGAATTAACCAGTTTTATTTGTTGACTAGAATGAACAATTCTTTATCCGCCTCTTACAAAATAATTCTGTCATACTAATAAATTTATTTCACTAATAATAAATTAATTCTTTATCATCTCTTACAAAAAATCAATTCTTTATCTTTTTTTTTTTTTGTTAACACAAAGAAAATGTATTTTAATTTAATAACATTGCACAATTTTTATTGGATATCGATCACGTGAAAGTCACGGGAGTGCACTTAGAGAGGGAGTTTTATATAGATGGGATGAAAAAAGACCGTGCAGTGCAGGGGGAAGGGGTGTGCACTTATCTCTAATCCCCAAACTTGGGAATGAATGAAAGCGTGCACTTAGAGGGGGTTGATTGTGCTTTTAAAAATCCGGATTTTCCTTTAATATTAATATTATCTAACATTCTATTATGTGGGCCCCACGTGGTAATTTTGGCCTTACAAACCAAAATCCTGATTTTCGCTTGCACTTACTATTGTTAGACATAGTCACACGATTCGGATAATTATGACAACTACTATTATGATGACAATTTATTAAAATGAACTATAATGGTGGTTTATTTTATTGTTTGATAATTTGAATACAAAGAATTAGAGAATAATAATTAACAATAAAGAAATCTATTTATTAATGATAGACCTTTGGCACTGTACATCAAGCAAGGTTTGAATATTTCAGAACAAAGCTCTAAAGGGTTGTATTTTTCATATGTAATCATTAGTTATTTCTACATAAGAATACATTTTAGGTTTTTAACTTACTATAGAATTTTTAAAACATTCAAAAATTCCCAGAATTGAATTATTTTTTACAAGGACTTTTATTTATCAATTGATAATGGGATTAAGTGAATGAATGGTGGTGAGGCCTGGATGTTTTATATACAACCATTAATTATTTTTACATAAGAATACACTTTAGGTTTTTAACTTACTGTAGAATTTTAAATTATTCAAAAAATCCCAGAATTGAATTATTTCTTATTATTATAAGGCCAATTGATGATTGCATTGGATTAAATAATAGTATCAAAGCTTGGATATTTTATATATGGTCATTGGTTATTTCAACATAACAATATGTACATAATTAACTACATCAAATTGTTAAAAGGATTACAAAGATCAAATATTGGATGTGATAGTGATGTCATTAATATATACAATGTGATTCAAAAAAAATGGCACCAAAATGTAAATTTATTTTAAAAAATTTTCACATGACAAAAAATGATTGGATAATGATAATTAAGCTTGTATGTTTATTACATGGCGTTTGCAATAGGATAATGATCCAAAGCACATCATGTATTACAAAAACCTTCATTTTTGAAAAAATAATTTGTATAATAGACTGGCCATCCAACAGTCCTGACCTTAATCCCATTGAAAATATGTGGTATATCATAAAAAAATAATGTTGAAAAAAGGACGCCAAGGAATTGAGAGATTTATGGTCAAAGAATTCCTCAGGAAATGGTCAAAATATTATTATGTCTATGAAACAGAAATACGAGTTGGTTTTAGAAAAAAAAACAGTGGTATAATTTCTTATTGATTTTTTTTATTTAATAAAATATTTGATATTTGAATCTAGTTTTGTTTATCTATCTTGCATAATTGTGATTTTTTGTGCATGCCATTTTTTTTTTGAAACACATTATGTAAGTTGAATTGTTTTTTAATTTCATTAATTATTATAAAATAAATATATACAAGTAATACAATGCACAAACTTTTTATTCATGATCAATATTTGCCAGGTGTCGAAACAGTATCAAAATTCTCATAGCTTATCTCATCATTTTTTCACCCCCCCCCCCCAATATTAATAGATATTTTGCAGTCTAAAAAAAGGTTGTTTTTTTTTGATGTGTAAACATGAAACTAAACAAATGTCGATCATTACAACGAGTTTTGATGAATTCGTTGAAATGAGATTTGACTGTACATGTATATTAACTAAATCTGGTGTCTGCAACTAAGAGGTTGCAGAATTTATAGCATAAGGCTGTAATATAAGAGTCCGCAACTCGTTGCAACCAGTCGTAGTCACCAACTTTAATTAAGATAATATATTATGAATGACATAATAAAAAATGAAGTTCCACAATTAAAAGGGTTAGTAAAACAATTAGAAGCAAATTATATAAATAATTATGAAGTAAGTTGGAAACAAATAGAGAAGACATATTAAAATTCTTGGAGTGGCTGAAATAATAAATATAGAAAATGACTAACCAACTAACGATTAAAAATCGCAGTTAAAATATCGTAAACCAACCTATGAAGATATTCCAAGGCAATCTTTTCGTTAACGCCGATTATTTAACATCTATGGCCGATTATGGTTTAACTCTTGGGCTACTCTTGTCAGGTAACTCACAATAATTCGACGCTTGTCAATTAATTAGTTTACGAATTTACTTCGGTTATTGATTATTGCATCTAGAAAGTTTCGGTGGATCTGTAGGCGCACTCAATGGTACAGGGAATTGTGAAACAAATAAATAAAGATGACACTTTTACAAAACTCAAGGCCTTTCTCTATATTGTACCGTTTTATTTACTGGTGGCCGATTTATTTATTTCAGTCGTTTACAATAGTTTTTTTTTATTTGGGCCGATTGCAACCTCACTTTGATTTATTTACAAAACAGCTTGTTTAGTAGCCTTACATCCTTGGTTACGAACACACTAAAGCAAACAACGTTTACTAATCGTCACTAGTTACCCAACGTTAGTCTTAATCTTTGCTTACGAAACAAATAAAACGTGACCTTTAACAATTGTTGCTTTTTACAAAGCATTTTGCTTTAAATGAAAAATAAATTGCATTGTAGATCATTTCACGGTTTTGTCTCTGGCTCAAAGATTGAAGAATGAATTAGTTCAGCCATTGAGAAATGGGGAGCAAAGCAACACTATAATTATAATTATAGAGAGTTGAGTGTAACAAGCTGAAGAAGTAAAGTTAGATGCTGGATGCCTTGGTAGTAGCCCAAGAATGAAGGAAGAACAAACTACAACAAATTATGAAAAAGATAAGAGAAAAAGAAACAAGAGAAAATAAAACCCAAGGAAGCCAAAACCAATTCTTTTTATCTTTAACTTCCTTTAAAAGATAATATACACACACCTACCTATGTGTATTATTTAATATTGATAATTAATTAACCTAAGTTAGACAGTAGTTATTTATTTTCCAATTTTCTTTTCTTTATAGTTTTGTGTTAATGTTCTTTCATTGATCATGATTTGTCATTCTTCTTGATATGTAATCCTTGGTCCCATAGTGGACCTGTTATAATTTCATATTAATTATTTTTATCTTACATAGTAGCAGTACAATTATGATCCTTGTGATATAATGCAATATTCATTTATGCCCCAAATATAAGAAAAACATACTTTTTGTTTCTTCCATAACAAACATTAAGTAAACCTCGCTATAACAAATTTCTCTTTTCTCTGCCTCTTCTCCTTTATTAGTGAACGAAATACATATATGGGAAAAGGTTCGCCATCGAGAGAGCGAACTGTATTTTATATTGAATAAACTAATAAATATCATTTCAATATAAAAAATGAATTTATTTAAAATGAATTGATTCCTTTTTTTTAATAATAAAATATTATTTTACCCAAGTCCCTTTAGAAATTAACGTCCAAGGAAGATTATTAAAGGAAGATCAATTTTCTCAGATATCACTTTATTGACACGAATTAAACCAATTAAATCATTCCACATAAATTTCTCTTTTTCTCCAGAAATTTTGAAAAAATAATTTCGCAGAATGAAGAAAATTCAATACTTGCCATTTCAATTTTCATTTCAATCTGTGCTTTCAACAATTTTAACATTATCTTTTGTTATAAAAAATATCCATGCATTTTATGCTAACAATGGACCCGTAACTTTGATAACACCTCAAAATTATATGAATGAAGTGCTCTTAACTGAGGTAACAATCATTAATATATATGTATTCATGTATTTATAGGAATTTATTTAGCAATATATCTTTTCTTTTGATTTTTATAATTAGAAAGTAGTTTTATTAGAATTTTTTGCTCCATGGTGTGGTCATTGTAAAAGGTAATCAATCAATTTAACTAATGAGTTAGTCTGTTAATTTGGTTAATTAATTTAATCTATGATCATATATAGACTTACACCAGAATATATAAAGGCAGCAGAGAATTTAAAAGGATTGGTGAAAGTGGCAGCTATTGATTGTGATGATCAATCAAATAGAAATGTGTGTTCTGCAAATGAGATTAAAGGTGATTTTGGTGTTTTGTTTATAACATTACATTCATCACACATACAACATTTTTTTTGATTTTCAAAAGAAAAAAAAAAAGAAAAATTGAATTGTTATGAGTAAATCTAATTTTAATAACAGGGTTTCCAACTATTAAACTTTTCCCTAGTCAATCAATTCCTGATCCAAAAAATCCAAAAAAATTTATAAAAAGACCAAAAGGTTTGAATGATTTTTATTTTATTTCACTAAATAATTCTTTCCTCACTAAAAAAATATATTGATATTTATATAGATTACAATGGACCAAGAACTGCTAAAGATCTTGTAAAATTTGCTCTTGAGGAGATACCATCATTTGTACAACCATTAGCAGAAAAAACTCGAACAAAGAAATCTTTAACACTTGATGAATTTCTAGATAAAAGTGTAAGTTATTTATATATAAATATATTTTACACACATTAAATGCGTATTATTTATAATTGTTTTATTTAGAATGGAACAATTTCAAAAGCAATTCTTTTCACAAGTAAAGATAAAACAACACATCTTTACAAAGCGTTATCAGTAGAATTTCATAATAGAATGTTGTTGGCGGAAGTCAGGAAATTTGAAACGACAATTCTGGAAAGATTTAATATAACAGATTTTCCTAAATTCATTGTCATACCAAAAGATTCTCCATATGAAGTAATAGAATTTACGGGTATTTTAATTAATTTCATTTTTATTTTTTGGTTGTGCGAATGTGTATTATTAATATTAACATTATAATTCTCATTGATACATGTAGAAAAATATAGTTATGATAATTTATCAAACTTTTTAAATAAATATGCATTACCAAAATCTTCTTTAGAACCTGAACCATGTACATAAATTTTTTCCATACGAATCTTTTTCATTTTATCAATGATTTTCTTTCTGTTTCACACACACAAACCAACTAATTATAATTTCTTTGCATTAATAACAACAGTTAACCCCGAGATTTTAGAGGTTAAGACACAATCGGATTTGATAAAAAATTGTTTGAAAAAATCTAGTGGTGTGGGAGTATTATGTGTATTTACCATTCTACCATTGGAATCTGAATTTCCCGAGTCTGTAACTGAACACCAATCGAATGTCAACATATTGAAAAAAGTTAAAGAATCATTGCACGTTGGATCATCGTTAAAAAATAAATTTGACTTGAGTTTCTTGTGGCTAAATTCGTTGAATAAAGGAGCTCAGAAATTAATTAAAGATTTCAAATTGTCTGACGTTTATCCAACATTAATGATATTAAATCCAAACAAAAATATTTACGCTCCTTACTTAGGACCATTTGAAGTGGAAAGTATTCAAGATTTTATTAAAGAAGTTGCCATGGGATTTCATAAAAAGGTTTACGAGGTTAAATTTGATGTTTCAATGACAGAAGGAAATGATAAAAAGTCATTCACCAAAGAGGAATTGTAAAGGATTTAATTCCAATTTTAATTTAATTTACACATTGTTTCGAGTTTTGTTATTATAATTATTATTATTATTAAAATTAATAATAGATTTAAACAATAAATATATATTATTATAATCTTGCTTCAAGAGGAATAAATTTTTTTATTTATAAACAACGCGTCATTCAACAATTCGTGTAACAAAATAACCTTCTTCCCAAAAACAAATTTTTTTAAAAATAATAAACAATGGCTACCTTTATTAGAAAATTTCGTTATCAAACAGTACTTTCGAGTTTGCTTCAACAAAAAAGACGTCTAGTTTTTTTCAATGTACATAATGGTAGTAATAATGCGACAAAAGTAAGTTTCCTAATATAGAATAAATTAAAAAGTACGCGTGAAAATTTATTATTTTCTCCAAAAATTAAAATTTACTGTGTTTTTATGTGCTATCGTAAATTTCAAAGGCTGCGATTGTAACTTATCGTTTCTCAAGTTCTAGTAGCATTAAATATAAACCATATGCAGCAGAAGTTGTTCGACCAGATAATGAAGATATTCCTCCTCACTTTTCAGATGCCACTGATAATAAATCTGATGGTACATCTTTTCCATCTTTACCAGAATTTTCATCGGATAATAATAAAAATGCAAAGTCGAAAGAATTAACAGAACCAGCCAAAGATCTTTCAAATGATATTGCTGAGTGTGGTCAGGATTGGTCCAAATCATACTATGGCTTGTCATCTCAATCTTTTACAAAAGATGCTAATGATATCTTGTTAGCTCCAATTGATCCAAACGATATTGAATGTAAACCTGGTAAAAAATATGTTTAAAGTTTATTAAAGAAATGCTCCATAATGAAAAATTAAAAAAATTAATTTTGCTTTATATTATTTTTTTTTTTTTAATGCCATAGATGGTATAATTTATTTACCAGAAATTAAGTATCGTCGTATCTTGAATAAAGCATTTGGACCAGGAGGTAAATCATCAAGTAATTAATTCTATTTTTTTATATTTTTTTTTTTATATAAAAATTTGGATCTGAAAATTAATAGGTTGGGGATTGGCACCAAGAGGTGATAATACAGTTAGTCCTAAAACAGTCTCTCGTGAATATGCTTTAGTATGTCATGGAAGGTATAAAAAATTTATGATATTATTTATTTACCCTGTTTTTTTTTTGTTTCCATTAATAATAATGATGATGATTTAAATTGAAAGACTTGTTTCGGTTGCTCGTGGCGAACGTGAATATTTTGATCCTTCAAATTTAGCTACAGCAGCTGAAGGTGCTAAAAGTAACGCATTAATGAGATGTTGTAAAGATTTGGGAGTTGCTTCAGAATTATGGTTAGTATTTTATTAATTGGTTAATAATTATTTGATTAATTGAAAATTGATTAAAATTTTTTTGGGTTATTTAAAAGGGATCCAATTTATATTCGTGAATTTAAACGTAAGTATTGCGAAGATGTGAATGTAGAACATGCTGTAACAAAAAAGAGAAGAAAACATTGGATGAAAAAAGGTGGACGTGTAGAATATCCGTTTAGAATTGTCAATTAATTATTATTATAAAAAGATTTTGTATAAAGATTATGTGACTTATAAAATAATAAGGAAAATGCCAAATATATTTATGTTTATATTTATATTTATATTTATATTTATATTTATATTTATTATCATACAAAAGATCTTATCGAAGAATCTAAATCCAAAAAAAGATTACATATACAGAGATAATCCCGATAAGTTGGTCACTTATTTATATTTAAAGATGACCAACTTATCAAGTTTACCTATGTATCAAAAGAAAATGTTTAGAAAAAAAAAATATGTAAATATGTATATTGTTTTCAAGTCCATGCATGCCACATCACGACCACACCTCTATTATTCCCTTCGCTGTTAATTAATTATATTTTAATGTCTGCTTTAACTTTTAATCCACCATTAACAATGACTTCGCCATTAACTTTGGATAAACCATTAATTAAAATTGGATTATTACTGCTGCTATTGCTAATACTACTATTACTATTACCAAAATTACTAATTGAATTAATATTACTACTACTAATGCCATTACTACTCTTAGACCTGGCTCTTGGTAAAATCATATCCAAGAGTATCAAAGAAATTACAATCACATGACCAATCCAATAAACAGAATTATAAGCGATTACAATGTGTTCAAGTTTCAACAACTCAAATGAAATCATTGAATAATATAAAGCACTAGTTTGTCCGATCCAACACAACAAAAGATGTAATTTTTTCAACGTTTGTGTTTTAATGCTACTAAGACTTTCCTTGTCATTGTAGTATAAAGGTTTGGTGTAACTTTCAAATCGTTTTGCCCACCGTTTTTCACCTTCCATATCTAGAAATTCTAACGAGAAACATATAAAGTAGCCAATGTGTAGTCCATGCCATAATGCAAGAAATAAAAGTGCACCTATGTTGGACAAATTTTTGTTTCCAAGAAAAATAAGTCTTTTGAAAATATAAATTTTGGTCCACAGATTTGTGTTGGTGTTAAAAGATCCAACTATTGCATTCAATGATGTTGCAAATTCAAATTTCCACTAATATTAACACAAATTATAATGCAATTAATACTAGTTCAAAAGATGTGGAATTTTTTCTATAAAGAAAATAAAATAAAAATCATTATTTTTTTTTTACCTTGTCAACATTAGATAGACAATTCCATTCTGGTTTACCATTATCATCATATCCATTAAATGAAATCCCTGACAATGCACAAGATCCTTCAGTCAAACTCCATACTCCAAGATACTATTATTATATAATTATGATAATTATGGTAAATATAAATATAAAGTAATAATATTTAAATCATGCGCACACATTTATAATTATTATTATTGTTTTGTAGCTAGTTACCTTACTGAATGCAAATTTACCAGTTGCCCACATGATCAACAATCGTTTAAAGAACGGTAGATTCAGATATTCATCAGTCAATAAATACGAAGCTGGAAAGGACCCAGCACCGATTTGTCTTACCAACAAATACAAAGCACCCAACGTAAAACATTTCAAGGCATGTTTATAAGATCCCGGGGGGATTTTATTTGCATCGGGGAATATAGACATTGTGATGAATTTTCGATAGAGATGAAAGGAAAATTGTGGACCAATCAAAAACGCTCCAAAGAAATGTGCATATGCGATCGTTTCGATTAATGATGGAAGCGTTGCCAATTGAATATTTTTTTCGAATGATCTTGGTAGTTTTGGTGCTGGATTTCTTGCTGTTAATTCGGTGCCATTTAATGATGATGGTGGTGGTGTGACCGATGATGTGACTTTTTTATCATTAATTAATTGATTTTTTGGTGGATTGGATTTTAATAATTTTTCTCCGTCCATAAAATCCATCGCAAATCCAATCATTCTCAAACATAGAACGCATTGAGTCATTGTCCAATTAATATCGTAATCGTCAGTTGCATTAAAATAATAACCACACAATAAGTATGTAAAGTTAAATATAAACGCTGCAGCACAAGAAATTCGTCTATTGTTTATAATTGTTCCTAAATAACAAAATGTCCAAGTTACCACCGTGGTTAAAAGAGAATGTTTGATATTAGAACGATTGTAAAAGTAGGATAGTAGCAAGCCGGTGATTAAGCAGTATAGGTTACGAAGAAAAGGCGCCCATTTAGTTTTCAAAGGACGTAAGAATAGGAAACGATAGAAAAGAGCGGTAGGATAAGAGAATAAAATGGTGAGTATTAAACGAAGGGTTGGTTCCGGTATGCCGGTTGCAACACTGAGCTGCTCACTTATCATATTGGTTTTATTATTTTATTTATTTAATGTGAAAAAAATTTTTTTTTTATAAAATTTTTTTTTTTTTTGAAAAAAAAAAAAACGAAAAAAAATTTAAAATTTACATTTTTATATTTGATCGATAAAAATTATCAGAGATTTTAATTGGAGCGTAAAAAGAAAGAAAATCCCTTTCCCAACAATAACTATTTACAGCTTTATTTTTTTTAAAGTTAATATTCTGTGTTATTAAGTATTTTGCTTTTTTTCAAAATTTAGATCAGATTGTAATATTAATTAGTTGATATTATATAATTTATAATCATTGTCTAATAATATTGTTTTGTATACAACAATTGCTTTTTTATACAACAATATTTTAAAATTTTAGGATTTAGTATTATCCTTAATTTTAATTTTTTTTGGGATGAAATTATAAAATTTTGTCATACATCACAAATCAAAAAAACTTAATCTAACCCCAAACCCCAAAAAATTATGATGATTTTCACGTGCATTGCTATTTTTATTATCAACATTTGCAATAATTTGCAGATCTGGGGAATGGTATTACGTCATGAATATCATCCAGGCTGGTTATGTATTGTAAATATCTATCGAACCCAATTCCAAATCCACCGTGAGGAACACTTCCATACTTCCTCAAATCCAAATACCATTTATACTGTTCTTTATCCAACTTCATCTCATCCATCCTATCCTCCAACTGCCCATATCTTTCCTCTCTCAAACTCCCACCTAAAAGCTCTCCAACATCAGGCATCAACAAATCTGTGCACGCAACAGTTTTGCCATCTGGATTCAATCGCATATAGAAAGGTTTGACGTTTTTTGGGTAATTTGTGACGAAAACTGGTCGTTGGCAATAATTATTGGACAAATATATTTCATGTTCTCTATGCAACGGTTTACCCCATTCTGGTTGATAGAAGAATTTCATTTTAGATTGCTGAAGTGCTTTGATTGCCTCGGTATATGTCATCCTGACAAAACTATTTCTTTCGGTGAGACTCTCCAATTTTAAAAGCAGGTTCCGATCATACCATTTATTACAAAACTCCAGATCTTCGTTATAATTGTCTAAAACATATCTTGTCACTTCGCGTAAACAACCCTCTATGAAATCTAATAGATCTTCGAGTTTAAACAAATAAGCTATTTCAGCTTCCAACATCCAAAATTCAGCTAAATGTTTTGATGTGAATGACCATTCTGCTCGAAATACTGGGCCAAATGTGAAAACTCTTGACATTGCACATGCAATCATCTCGGCATGAAGTTGACCTGATACAGTTAGAAATACAGGAGTTTTGAAAAATTCTTTCATTTTCAATTGTTTTTCATCCTCTTTATTTTCCTCTTTTTCTGTTTCTTTACTTTCTTTCTCTTTTTCCAATTTGTCTTTACATTCTTCTTTCTCTTTTTCCGATTTGTCTTTATTTTTATTGATATTCCTTGGAGTAACTCTGAATACTTCACCACCACCTTCACAATCTGATGTTGTTATTATTGGTGTATTAATTTGAACAAATTCATTTTTCTATCAAAATAAATTATTATTGGCGAATGAATTTCTACGTCATATAATTAATTATATATATATTTGTATGTGTGTATGTATTTGATTAAAATAAGTTTCTTGCCTTAAAAAATTCTTGAAATCCCAAAATTGCACCATTCCTTATACGAATAACACTACCAAACAAACTTGATCGTGATCTAAGATGTGAGATTTCTCTAAGAAATTGCATTGTGTGCCCCTTTTTTTGTAATGGATATGTCTTCCATCATCCAATTTCAAAAATAATGATTATTGATGATAACAAAATCTTTCTTTATCAAATTACAAAATCAGGTTCTATTATATTTATTGTAACTTACAGAATCACATTCACCCAAGATTTCTGTTTCTTTTGCTTTCAATTCTACACTTTGCTCTTCACCTGGACTTTTAACCAACTTTCCACGAAAACGAACGCAAGATCCTGTGGTTAATCTAATCAATTAGTCATTAGTCACAAATATGTATATTTTAGAAACAATTAGATTAACTAAAAAGAAACACAAAACTTCTTTGCTGATTCTGGTGGAAATGTTACTTGTATGCCATTCAGACACGATCCATCATTAATAACAGCAAAAGATATTTTGGAATGAACACGTATAGAACGTATCCAGCCATAAACATCTACTTCATCATTAATGGGTGTTGTTTCAATAATACTTTTTATTGTTTTACTTGGTAAAATTTGTAGTTTGTCTGGTAAAGAAAGTTCTTCTTCTTCTGTAGATGTAGAGGTTGTAAAAAGAGTTCTTTTTCTTCTACTTTTTTTTATATAATGGTTTTTAAGAAAGTTTGATATTTTAAAGTTTCGTGAATTTTTTGTTAGTGACGATGCCATCATAGATAAAAAATCTTTTCACTTTTTTGATTATCTAAAATTTTTAAATTTTTTAATTTAACCAATCGGGTAACGTTGGACGACGATAAAGTAGATCTTTTTGTGTATTCTTCCTTGATTTTCAATTAATTAAAAAAAATGTTTTTAAGACCGAAAACCATCACAACTTTAAGATCTTTGTACTCTAGAGGGGTATATATATATTATAGAATGGGGTTTTTTAAAAAAATAAATTCAAAACTAATTATTTATATGAATAGCCATCAATAGGTCTTCTTCGTACCTTTGCTTCAGAAGCTTCCTCCTCATTCACTGAAACATTCAAATCTCAAAAAAATGCTAATGTATGCTTCTATTATCTATACATTTATCAATTATTTATTCTTTATTTTTATTCTTATCATTATTCAATTCATTCATAATACAAAGGGCAACTATCAAGTAACTCTTATTCCAGGTGATGGGATTGGACCGGAAATTTCTGCCTCAGTGCGCAAGATATATAAAGCTGCCGGAGTAAGATATCATCATCATCGCATAATACCGTATATTATGTAGTCGTCAATATTATGTGAATTCAAAAAAAAAATTATAATTTACCTTTTGGTTTACTTTCTTCTCTAATACACAAAAGGTTCCAATTGAATGGGAGGAAGTGAATGTAACGCCGGTGATAAAAGATGGCAAAACTGCTATTCCAGATGAAGCTTTGCTATCGATAAAGAAAAATACTGTAGCATTAAAGGGTAAACACAAATAATATATACATGAACATAAATATAAATATGGATGCAAATTAATTATAACCATATTTGTCAATGTTATAGGACCTTTGGCTACTCCGATTGGCAAGGGATATGTTTCTCTTAATCTTACACTTCGTCGTGCATTCAATCTTTTTGCTAATGTTCGACCATGTAAATCAGTGGTTGGATATAAAACACCTTATGATAATGTAGATACTGTACTAATTCGTGAAAATACTGAAGGTGAATATTCTGGAATTGAACATATTGTAAGTGATCACTTTATGAGTGGGTGAATTTTATAATGCATAAATCTGAATATATATATATATATATATATTAATATCTTTTATACATTTGCATATTACATTTATTTAGGTGGTGGAGGGAGTTGTTCAATCAATTAAGTTAATTACAAAGAAGGCATCTGAAAAATGTGCACATTATGCATTTACATATGCAAGAGATTGTGGTCGTAATAGTGTCACTGCTGTACATAAAACAAATATCATGTAAATATAACAACAATAATAATAGCACTAATGTGGTTTTTTTTTTAAAAAATAATATTAATATTGATTGAATGTATTTTATTCTACCCTTTCAATGTCCAATAGGAAAGCATCTGATGGGTTATTCTTGGAAGCTTGTTATGATGTAGCCGTAAATTATCCTGATGTTAAATTTGATGAAGTGATATTGGATCGTGCATGTCTTCATGTAAATTTTTAACATAGATAATTACAATTATAATTATGAAAAATTTAACTATAGCGTTATTTAATATTATTAATGGCAGATTGTACAAGATCCATCGAGATATTCTGATACAGTGATGGTAATGCCAAATTTATATGGAGATATTATATCAGATATGTGTGCAGGCCTTATTGGTGGATTGGGATTGACGCCTTCAGGAAATATTGGAAAAGAAGCTTCTGTATTTGAAGCTGTACACGGAACAGCCCCGGATATCGCTGGAAAAGGTAAAAATAAAATAAAATATAAATATATTGAAATTTCCTCCGAGTAACATTAAAAACACCAATCGAATTGATTAATTAATTGATTAATCAATTAATAATAGATCTGGCAAATCCAACAGCTTTACTCCTTTCGTCAATAATGATGCTTCGACATATGAGATTATATGACCATGCTACGAATATTGAGAATGCAGTCTTGAAAACAATTGCTGATGGCAAAACTCTTACAAGAGATTTACATGGCAATTCTACAAATTCAGAATTTACTAATCAAATTATTAATAATTTAAGTTGAACAATTATTTTATTATTTCTGCCTTTATTTAATTATTTATTTATAATTTCATCAACTAGAAGGAGCTTGATTGGCATTAAAAATATAATAAAAACTTAATATTTTGAAGTTTTACTTTTTTTGGATAACTATTAAATTTTTTTTTTGTAAATATATTTATACCATTTATGGAAAAATTAATTATATAATTGTTTTCCATATATAATATATATGAGATTTATTGATTTTGAATGGAATAAATTATAACTAGCTAATTCATATTTATTAAAATAGCTAACCTATAATTTAATAAAGTGCCACAAATGGTGTATATTGCGAAGTCATTCATTCTTTATCTTCGGAATAATGACATCGCGTCATTATTTGTATATTTGGGATAATCAGATAAAAAGTCCAAGTGGTAAAAATTATCTTTGACATTATGATTAAATTTTTATTTTTATTTTTATTTTTATTTTTATTGCAAAATTAATAATTATAATATAATAAATAATAACAAGTAATAAATTTATTGAATTATTCTAATCTATATTAAAAAAATAAATTATTGTTAAAAAAAATAACACCATGTTGTTTTGTTTTTTTTTTTTTAAATAAATGAATATATTAAAAAAGGAATTAAATAAGATTAAAAAAACAAAGTATTATTATTATTATTATTATTATCATTATCATTATCATTATTATTATAGTATATAAATCATGCATTTTTTTATTTATTAATAAATTTTTTCTATACTTTTGGATTTAATATTTTTTACCCAAGAAAATGACTTGAAGTTTATCATAACTATTTTTTTAAAAAAAAAGAGTTAATTATTATAATATAATTAATTATTAAACCTTTTTTTTGAAATATAATAATAATCTTTGATACATACCCAGCCAACACACCAGCGCCAGCAATAGCACGAAGAATATTAGCACCAGCACCTTTGAACAAAGATTTTGTACCCTCTTTGGCAATAATTTCTTTACACGCGTGTAATGAAGACTTATATTTAACAGCTTCACCAGATGTCATCATCATTCTACGTCTTATAGTATCTATAGGATAACTTGCAAGACCTGCTCCAATAGTTACACACCATCCAAGTAAGAATCTAGTCTCATTGTAATTGCAAATAAACGAATGGATGAATTAGAAGGATTATTTATGATCTAATGGTGATAATACCATAGAAGGATGATCGCTATAATTGTTATCATATGATAATCATAATCATAATCATAATCACAATACTTACGATCCCAAAAGACTGTCTTTGACTGCCCCGGTTAAAACAATAGGTTTCAGAGAATCGTACATACCAAAGTAAAGACCTCTATAAATTATAATACCTAAATTATATTAATTATTATCAACAAGGTAAAATTAGTGAATCTGAAAAATCTGAATTATTCAGCAAAATGTGCATTTATACATATTTGATACAAACTTACCAACACATGAAATATTGAATCCTAAATGGTCAAGTATTTGATTAATTAACTAATAATAATTCCATAAAATCAAAAGAAAAATCAAAATCGTATTTATTACCTCTATAAAGACCAATAATACCATCGGATTTAATGGTTTTACGATAAACATCAACCAGGCCATTGAATTGACGTTCACCACCTTTTTTGGCAGCTTTTGCATCGTTGGCAAGACGAGTACGAGCATAATCAAGTGAGTAGACAAAAGTCAAAGATGCAGCACCAGCAGCACCGCCAGATGCAATGTTACCAAGGAAAACTTTAGCATAACCGTCTTTGTCCTTTTTATAATTGAACATTTTCTTGAATTTATCTTTAAAAGCAAAATTTAATGCTTGTGTTGGAAAATATCTAATGACATTGGCTGTATTACCACGCCAAAGTGATATAACTCCTTCATTTTTAACTGTTCTGGTAAAACACTCGCCAATTCCTTTATAAGGTGTTTGAAGACGGCCTGCTTTGATCATCTCATCTTGATTCTGAATAAGAAGCTTTACACGTTCAATTGGTGCTGCTGCTGTTTTAGAAACTGCTGCTGAAACACCACCCATCATAAAGTCTACCAAAAAAGATTTTTTATTTTGTTCCGTCATTTTTTATTTATTTTCTTCAAAAAGTTTTTATTAGAGTGGGGAGTGGTTTAATTAATTTATCTATCAGTTAATAGATATAATAAAGGATTTTTAGTTTATCAGAAGAAAAAGAAAAAAAAAATTTAAAAAAAAATTTTTATTATTTATAATTAAAATGTCAAGAGAATCAAAAAAAAATTTTTTTCTTGATCTTCAAAAAGAATTAAATAGATTAATTGGATAAAAGAGTTTTTTGACAGTATTCATCCGTAAATCTCCGTCCGGCTTCATCTTTTTTCATCATCACAATAAAAAACGATCTTCGTGCATTTTGATTGGTAAATTTATCCAATTTCTTTGCGTGATAAATATTCATTCATTCATTCATTCATTCATTCAATTCATTCAATTAATTCACCATTCAGATGAATGAGCAAGCTTATACATCGATAAGCAGAAAGTAATGCTGTAATATGCTAAAAAGATATTTATTATTGACTTCAAAAAACAAAATTCCTTAAATTACCCGATAAATCGCCCATTTTTTTACTCGCTGAAAAATTCAACGATGTGTTTTTATTGAAATCCACACTGTCGATCATGTTTTTAGTAAAAAACCACTGAATTTACATACAGTCAGCCATTTCTTAAGTGCACTCTCCTTTGGGCTGGGTGAATGCGTGTATTTAAAGAGGGCAGTTTTATATTTAAGTCCAAGCTCGGGACTGAGATATAGGGCACTTATGAAAAAAGTGTGGATTTCTGGACGGTGGTGGTATTACTACTATTGTTTCATGTATAAGAATTAGCCTATGGAAAATAATAATATTTCCCAATACTTTACATAAATTATTATAATCTAGGTGAGATTTTTCAAAAGATTCTTTTGAACAAGTTATATGATATAATCATGGTTTGTTTCTTTTTTATAAAGATTGCTAAATAATTTTTTTGGAGAAAGAAAAAAATAAATAACGTAAATAATAAATAATAAATAATAAATAATAAATAAATAAATAATAAAGAAAACTTTATACATCGATGATACAAAACATTCGATTGATTGATTTTTTGCATTATTTATTATATTACAATTTGGGATTTACTAACGGGTCTGGGGCTTTTAAATTGTTTCATAAACATCCAAAATAATGATGGTATTGTTGTTAGTTATTACAATTATGGTTATATATATCGGACAACCCTACATTTTAAATATAATTAATTTATTAATGTAACATACCACCAAGGTCACATGATTTATATCAATCTGAATTTGCCAGTAAAATTTTAGTATAAAATATTCGTAAAAGCTTCCGGAGCACATGTCACTTACAGGCGGATAAATATATCGCAATAAAAAGATTTTGGATGTTTAAATTCCATGTATCGAATTGGTTTTTCTTTTTTTAGTAAATCACTAATTAATTAATTAACCTAATCAGAACTTGGACAAAAAAAGTTTTATTTAAAAGATGTAATTGATTCTTTGCGAGAATTTCTATTTCTATTTCTATTTATTATTTTTTTTTATTTTACAAAAAGAAAAAAGAATAAAATGTTTTATATAATTAAAAAATAATTTAATATAAAAATATATTGACAACAAATATAGGAAAATTAAGCCACTATTGGACTAATTCATCCAGAAACTCACTGGGGTTGGTTACCCTTAAAAGCCACCAATAAGTTGCAGTGCCCCAAGTCAATAAGATGACTCTTTAAAAAGACTAGCTCTTGAGTCATGGGTTACAGTTGATTCAACTAAATCAACACCGCCTTATTATGATGATTTAAGTCATATTAATATTCTTTTATCAGATGGCATATGGAAGAGTTTTCAAGAAGATGTAACCTTTTCATCCTCTCCGGGAAACAGTAAAAACTAAACCAATATACGTATAATAAAATCAACATGTATAACCTACGTGGGTTATTGACAAAAACAAGAAATACGTGTGAATTATCCTAATGTAATTCAGAGGAAAAATAAACCATATCAAGATGGATTGATACTGCTCGCTCGGTGGACATATAACAAATGTTTAGTAGCAGTTAATTAATGTTGATATATAGTTGCGTGATAATTATCTGAAATTTTTGAAGACCCTGGTCTCGGATGGGTTCTTGATGGTATTAGAGATAATGGTTGACTTTTTAAACAATTATAATGCTGCAAAAAAAAGAAAAATTTTAAAGATCTAAAAAATACAAGTTACAGTAACTGTCGTTGGATCAACAGATCAGGGGAGAGAAATAAAGTGACCATTATTCGTTCCTCAAAAGTGTTAAACAATACCCGAATTAAAATATAACTATGAATTATCTTGGTGAATTCTACTTTATATACCTAAATCACTTAAGTTTAATACTATAACCAAAGTTCTAAATTTTTGATGGTTGAAGAGAATAGAAGTGCTGGCTTGAAGACTTTCATGACCGGATATGATTCAAGTGGTGAGGTTATATAATGGAGAAGACGGGCATTATAAGTAGATTATATCATTTATGCTTGTATCGCAATAGAATCCGAAACGAAAGGAATTCTACTCACGATAAAGCAAATAAGTGTAAAAGATACAGGCTCCATTTATACATGTTTTCAAATCCCCAAGAAAATTCATAATCTTATGGATGAGTGTCATTGAAAGTTTGTAAAATGGTTATGCGAAAACACCATGTAGTTTTACTCTGTGAGTTTAAATCACGCACAAGTCATGGCGCTATTGAAAAATCAGTTACAAAATTGCAAGGTGATGTTCAAAAGGTTGGCTCAATATAAAGTCTTTTAATATATATGGTGTTTGAAAGTAAGTCATTGGAAACTTTAACTAAGAAGTTAAAGAACAAAAGTTTATTAAGATTCGTAGATAATTTCGATGTGAATAAATCATATTGTGTTAAGAGCAAGCTTGTAAAATTTTCGTTTGCCTTGTTACATTTCCGCTTTCACCCATAAATCTCATGATGATCATCTGCACTATGGATGTTGTGGGCACATCAAGCAAAATCCGGGTCCTTCAAAGACTTTTAGATGTAAATAACAATGTTAATATACTTTTAAAACATATTACAGGAAACAAAATAAGAGTCGCTCAAGACATCTTATTGTACGTAGGCCGTCTACGTAGAGGTTTTTTTTTTTAAGGAATTAATTTTGTGTAATAAAAAAATGTGATGCAAAATTTTTAAAAATCACATCCACCTATGTTTTCAAAATACCAATACATAAACCGTACGTACAAATATGTATGAATATATTACTTATTTATAAATATATTTATTTCTTAAATAAGTGCATGAAGTGACGAGAAAATATATAATATAAATAATAATATATGGTAAAGTAAATCTTTATTAAAAATTTTTTTGGTTTTTTCAGGTTTTTTTAATAGACGCACTGGTTTTTTTTATTTTATTTTATTTTCTTCTAATCAAAAACTTAATCGTTTATTACATCTATACATCTCTCCTTCATTCATTTTTAATATTTTTTTAGGAGATGTTTTAAGAATTTTGTTTTGGAAATTTCAAGTTTTTTTTTTTAATAATAATAATAAATAATTCATATATTATTTCCTTTTTTATATCTTCCTCCAACAATTTCATTTTCCTGCCTCCATTTCTCTCTTACCACTTTCTCTCTTCCATTCTACATTATATGTGTTTGAACTATATTACTTATTCTTATTACACATAATAAATTACAAATATAACTGTATTTTATAATAAATTGGATATTTAATTTAAAAATTTTTTCCAAAAAAAAAAAAGTGTCATTTAAATTAGTGGGCTAAAACAAAAAAAGAAAAAAAAAATGTCTTATGAAGAAGATAAGTTTTTTTCTCCATTATTGGCAGGTAAACATAGTGGTTCACAGTCACCACAATTAACACAGCAGCAGCAACCTTCACCATTAAGAATTCAACCTTCTTCATCAATACAACCACAACCTCAATCCCCGGAATTATCGGCATACTCAAAAAATGATGATGATGATGATGATGAAAATGATAATTTTTCGACATCATTTCCTTATAATCAACAACCATCATCATCACTATCGCAAGAAGAAACATTATATCACTCTTCTATGTTTAGACCTCCTTCGCCATTACAATTTAATAATAATTCTTCTACGAATGCTGCTGCTCAAAATCAAAAGCATGTATTTTCTGTTTTTAATAGTAGTAATAATAATATTGAAACAACTGATCCAATATTTCGACACCCTTCCTCATCTTCAACCCCAACTCCACACGATCATGATTCAATAAAGTCAAATAATACACAGCAACATAATAAACAACCCTCGCAAACATTTAATGATAGTTCACCACCAACTCCGTCAAATAATTCAGGTTATAATATTCATAGAGATTCTCATTCTAACACATTCACCAGCTTAACAGGTCCTCCACTTGCAGGTCAAGCAAATACTTTAATAAATCCTGAAATTAGACCTTTAAAAAGTATAACGAGTTTAGAACAAGTTTACAGAATGAAATTTTTTGATGAAAAGAAACCAACTTGGAAATTTTGGATTTTACTGTTACTCCTTTTTTTCATCATATCGGCCATACTAATACCTGTGATCATATTTGTTACGAATCAAAATTCTTCAATTAGTTCAAATGTTGATTCATCATCATCAACATCATCATCAATAATAACTTCTTCAACAGCTCCATCAATTACTACAACAGATTTGGCCGCAACAACATCAATACCACCAGCAGATCCAGCAGCAACAACACCACCAGCAGCAACAACGCCAGCACCAGCAGATACACCAGCACCAGCGCCAGCACCACCATCAGATACACCAGCACCAGCACCAGCACCAGCGCCAGCGCCAGCGCCAGCACCAGCACCAGCGCCAGCACCAGCGCCAGCACCACCATCAGATACACCAGCACCAGCACCAGCACCAGCACCAGCACCATCACCACCAGCACAAACACCACCAGGAGTAACAGTAGCACCACCAGCACCATCACCAGACGTACCACCAGCACCATCACCATCACCAGACGTACCACAACCAGCACCAGCACCAGCACCAGCACCACCACCAGAAGAACCTACTAACTAATAAGTAAATGAGTAAATAAATAAATATATATTTATATGTGGAAACGGTGAGATTTAATACTATAGATGGTGAAAGAAAAAGAGAACAATTGATTAATTATATATTTATGTATTTAAAGAAAAAAATGAGATTGCTTATCAAATTTTTTTGTAAATTAAATTCATCTATCATCTATTCATTATCATTTTTTTTTAATCAAAGGATAATAAAAATTCACACATGATTTCTATTTAACTCTTAACTTTATTTATTTCATTTTTGTTTTATTATTATTATTACTTAATCATTGAACGATTCATTTATTAATTAGAAGCGTTTTCATAACTTGTTCCTTTGGGGTTCTTTAGATAGAATTGTGGTTGGCATATTATTATTAATCATTAAAAAACTTATTTTATTTTATTTGCATATGTATTCATAATAATATCATTAGGATATTTTTTTCAAAATTTTCAAAAATTTTCAGTTATTTATTTTATAAACTTTATAATCTTAATTATATAATATTAGACAATTAATTAATTTTGCTAAAATGATATTTAATCAAATAAATTATTATTTGATTGATAACCTTTAATACACGCAAATGCGCGCCGACTTAAAACAATATTTATTAACCAAAAATGATTTTACACAGTTGCAGTGATCGCTGCAGTGTTAATTATTAAGCAAAATGTGTTAATTACTAAGCAAAATATAGAAATACGTAATAATTTATTAAAACGAATCAATAAATTTATTTAGTTTAATTGTTTTAATACAATGCCTTTATTATTAATTATATAGTTGGTTTTTTTGAAAAAAAAACAAATTTTAGTAACAGTACTATGTACTATCAAAATAAAGATAATTTCTTCGTTGTGATAAAGTCAAAAGCATCATCTATTTAATGTTATCAAATTGATTTTTAATCATCCATTCAAAACCAATTTTAATAAAATATTTCTTTAACGTTAATTAATAAAATCAACTTCTTCAAATATAAGGACATTTAGGGCCAGTCTGGAATGAGAGCTCATAACAGGCGTTGGCTACCTACGGTAGACTCTTATAAAACATTGCGCACAGATGAATAGGATGGCTATTTAAAGGGAATAACCGAAAGGTCATGGCTCACAGTTAATTCAATTAAACCAACACATGGTAATTTAAATAATATTACTCTTGCACCAAAAGGCAAATGTAGGTAAGATGCAAATTCATCTTTTGTAAACGAGAATGTAAATCGTGGATGAAGACGTCATCTTCAATGTAAAGTCGGCGCTCGATATAGTGAAAATTTTGGCTAGTACAAATTTGGAAACTATATTCTAAAAATTGAATTTGATTGGATATTAGCGCAGATAGTTTCCAAATTTGTACTAGCCAAAATTTCACTATATCGAGTGCCGACTGCAACTTCTTTCTTCTCCATCTTCTAAAAAAATCCGGCAGGGAAAACTCTTAAAACAGACTTTGAAGGGGGAAAAAAAACACACAAAATGCACGCCATAGGTAAATATTTACGTGATCGATAGATCTTCAAAATTTACATCCAATGACTCTGGCTTAAATGGGTTCTTTGATACTCTTCCTAGTATTAGAGACCTGTAAATCAAGTATTTCTGCAAAAAAAGAAAAGATTTTAAATTAAATTTTAGACCTAAAAAAGACACATTACAGTCAATTGTATTAGATCAACAGATTGGAGAAGGAAAAAAATGTGAATATTCATCACTCAAATATATTATTATATCAAGTGAGAAAACTGAAATAAAATATGATTACTGTCTCATCATGAATTGTCTTGGTGAATTATACTTATGCATCCTAAACCACTTGAAATTAAGACTGTTAGCCAAGGTCCCAAATTTCAGCTGTTAAAGGGAATAGAGGCACTGGCTCCATTGCTCTTGATCCAGGAGCGTGAATGGATATAAACCATGTGGTCAAATTATTGGATGGGGGAAGGGAATAGATAGAATAGAACACCTATGCTATCACATTGGTAGGAAAAGGATGGGACAATATTACATTGGCGACAGCTAGAATTCAAAGTAAACGGGATTCCATTCATGTTAAAGCAAACAACAATGAACGTAAGAGATATATAAGCTTTGGAACATGTATGCTCCAGATCTACAAGAAAGTTCACAATCTTGTGGATGAATGTCTTCGAAAATTTGGTAAATGGTTATATGAAAACCATAGTATCGTTTACTCCCTGATAATATTGAATCATCGCATAATATAATGCTCTGCACTACAAGTTACCTTTATTGTTCTAGAGTCAAAAAAATACTAATCTATTTGTATATAAATTTAAAATTTTTTCACGTTAATTTTTAGTTTACCTACAGATTTTTATAAGTCACATCTATTTTATTTCTTCCCTCTGTTCCTTCTACCAAATAGTGTTTCCTTGAATAATATCCACCCAAGTTTTTAATGATGATGATGAGGATTTCGGTGGCGATATTGATTGTGTGAATTATAATTTTCTAGATGATCAAGAGAAATAAGTGCATTCATTCAACTATTCTTGACTAATACACATCCCAAATCTAGTATTTTGATGTTACGCGAATAAAAAAATAAGGGTATGTATGATTGTTGCGACAATAAAAATTAAAGCTTTAACTTTAAAGAAATTCTCTAAATCTTGAAAAAAGAGAATATATACAGAAGAAATAAATACATACACATACATAGTGAAAAAGACATAATTTAGGTTGATTACCGGTCATTTAATTTAAATATATATTTATATATATTATATTGTTATTTTTTTTTGTGGAATCTAAATAATAGCATTATCAATCGCAGATATATGGATCATAATATAAATGACGAGGAAGAGGAAGAGGAAGAAGGTGATTATGATGAGGAAGATAATAATGAGGAAGAGTCACGTAGACCAAGTAATAATGAAAGAAATTCTTATAATGATAGAAATGTGAATGATCAAAAAATAGGATCAAAAAGTTATCAATTTCATTCAAATAGTCAAACGACGGTTCCAAGAAAAGGATATTATGATAATTATACTCCTGAATATTATAAAATTAGATATGGTAATAACTATGATCTGAAGGAACATAATATAAATTGGAGCGATGATGATGATGATGATGATGATATTTCTGATGATTCTGATGATTCTAAAGATGCAACTATGTTCCCTTTAAATGATTTTGAAGGTGACATTGATCCTTCAATTATAGCATCGCCAAATGATATTGAACTATCTGCTGAAATGCAAAAGGAAAGAAAAGATTGGCTAAGTTTTTTATCATCAGTACTAACTGGTGAAGTTATAATGTCAGAAAAACAAAGAATTTCTACTTCTAATAATCGTCAAGCTGCAAATTATAATTACCAAATTTGGTTAGGAATTCGAGCTGCCACTAATGGCAGACAACTTTCAGAAGAAAAACAAGCCTTGGATGAGAAAAAACAACAAGTTACTGCCACGCTTAAGGAGGTAATTGATTTTCAAGTTCAACCCGGCGATGTTCCAGCTATTGAACAAGTTGTAACATTGCTTCAAAAAGTTGATGATTGTGAAGGCCTTTATCCAACTAGGAAGGCAATGATGTCTGAAAAACCCTTATATAAATCAGAGAATTTTCAATATAGCATAGATGCATTGAATTCATGGTTAACAATAACTAGAAGCTTACAGACTCAATTAAAAATTCTGCAAAATTGGACTAATAGTGAAAATTTAGAGATCACAAAATCAGCAGATGCAGAAAATCCTTCTTTCTTGGAACGAATATTGAAAGAAAATAGCTTAAAACAAATATTTGAGAAAAAAACACTTTCTACATTGAATTCACTTTTATCCAAAGCTAAGCTTATAATGATTGAAAATGCCAATGCATTTGCCAAAATGAAATTGCCCTCATATATCGATGAGTTACAAAAACTTTTGAACTTTCCTACAAAACTTATGGAAGAATGCATGAGGCTATTAATTGAAATCTCTAGCCGCCTAACAGATCCAACAATGCTCATGATTCAACAGAGAATGGATGATTTTCGTATTTCCCTTATTTTGGCTTGTCAAATTAAACATCAATATTTGGAATTGGTAAAACCTGCAACTGGTTGGGAAATTCCGCCGTGCATTAACGAAAATTATAATCATATATTGTTGGAATCTTTGAAATTTTATTTAAGATTACTGCAATGGAAATTTAAAGGTGGTTGTAAAACTGTATTTTTTAAAGAAGCTGAAATATTAGAAACTGAGTGGTCATTTTTAAATGGTATTTGTCGTGATATTGCTGGTGGTGATATCGAAGCTGCAGAACAATTTTGGTAATAATTTTCAAAAAATCTCAATAATGTTTTTATTTTATATATATTTATAACAAATTAATAATAATAAATAAATATTTATTTATTTATAGCATTCTTGTCAATAAATTACATCAAAACGTTATAACTTATTATGAGACGAACCTTGAATTGCCAAAAGATATTGACACAGCAAACATCACTAAATGGTATAATAAAATTTTGGATGGTGTTCGTTTAAGATCTCGTAAATTATTTCGATTCACAAAGTATGTACTAATTTCAAATTATTAATAAATAAATAAATAATAAATAAAGCAGGGTTAATTAATTATTAATTACAATTTTATTAATAGACTTTTATTTGGAGAGCTTGAAAATGCAACTGAATATTTTATTGATGATGATACTTTTCCAAATTTTATAAAAAATTTAGAACATACAAATCATGTTCTTGTTTATCCAGATACTTTCAATGAAGATAATGTGTGTTTTATTGTTGAACAATCTCTTAAGGACAGGCAAGAACAAATTCAAAAATTACTTAAAGCTATACTCACACCATATGATCAACTTAATAGTGATCATGAAGAAGAGTTGAATGGTACTGAATATATACTCATTTTGTCACCAAGAGTATCTTTTGAATGGAATGGCCCAATAATGATGGTTTCTTTGGGTCAATTAAATATTGAACTTAAAAGTTATCGTGTAAGGCTTGTTGCTAATGGTGGTAGTACTCGATTGCAAGCATGTAAACAAAGGTTTCGTAATGTAGTTGAACACTGTGGTATCAAAGTAATAGTGGAGACACGTGCTAATGTTTCAAGTGTGAATCGCGAGATTGCAAAACTCAAAAAAATCATAGTAAAACTAATTAACATGATTATCGACAGTGTTAGGAAAATTCGTGAAATGACAAAGAACCTTCAACCTCAAGATCTAATTGAAAATTGTTTCAGTTTTGCAACTGAAATAGGTCATCGATGTATGAAATTTATGCATAGGGACATTGCACGAAATCAACTAAATATAAAGCTAACACATATGGCTATCGATTGGGTTAGCTTCATATGTGATGACTGCATTCCAAATGATCGTAAAACTTTTCGATGGGCTGTCATAGCTCTAGAATTTGCTATGGCAACAAATCGTGGAAGCAACATTTATGGTTTAAGTGAGGAAGCATTTTCTTTACTTCATAACAAAGTAGCTAGATGTATGACTTTATTAATTTCACACGTGGACATTTTGGGAGCAAGATCATCTCATGAAGCAATAGAACAGCAAGAAAAATATGAGGAATCTTCAAAACCATCCAGTTCAATAAAAAATAAAACATTCAGTAGTATTCTTTCAAGTAGCGCTAAAGATTCATTGATCGTTCGAGAAGAATGGATTGCCTCTTTGAATGAATTAGAATCAAGAAGATCACAAAGGTTACAAGATCAAAGACTCGTTGGAAAAGTTCTCGAAGATCAACTTGAAAATCGATCACTTGTATTTTTAGCATCCTCAAGTTCCAACATTTCACTCCGTTGGCAGCAAGGCAAATTCATAGGTGGTGGCACTTTTGGTTCAGTTTATTTGGCTGTTAATTTGGATACTAGTGACCTAATGGCAGTCAAAGAAATACGTTTTCAAGATCCTTCATCTCTATCATCTTTATATAGGTCAGTTAAAGAGGAAATGTCTGTTATGGAAATGCTTGATCATCCAAATATTGTTTCATATTATGGTATTGAAGTGCACCGAGATAAAGTATATATATTTATGGAGTATTGTCAAGGGGGATCGCTGGCATCTCAATTAGAACATGGTCGTATTGAAGATGAAAATGTAATTAAATTTTATGTAGCACAAATGTTGCAAGGTTTAATATATCTACATGAAAATAATATTGTACACAGAGATATTAAACCCGATAGTAAGTTATTATTTTATAACATTCATAAATACTTAATGTCATGTTTTATTGTTTTATAAATTTTTTTTTTAAAAAAAAAAAAAGATATACTGCTAGATCATATGGGATATATAAAATTTGTGGATTTTGGAGCAGCCAAAATTCTAGCAAAAAATCAAAAGACAATGTGTCGAACAACTAAGACTCAAAAAACACATGTTAACAGTTTAACTGGTACACCAATGTATATGGTTTGTAGTTAATTAATTTGCTCTATGTTTATATATGTATTTATCTCATAGATATATATACCCATTATTCGAATTACATACAAAATTATTCTTTAGGCACCAGAAATTATAGCAGGCGGTGAAAAGGGACGGAAAGGTTCTATGGATATATGGGCTTTAGGTTGTTGTATATTAGAGATGGCTACTGGTAAACGCCCATGGTCTAATTTAGATAATGAATGGGCTATTATGTACCATGTGGTGACTGGACATCCACCATTGCCAGATCCTTCACAAATATCAGAATTAGGAATGGACTTTCTGACACAATGTTTTGTGAGATCAGCACAACAGCGCCCTACAGCTAAAGAATTAATTGAAAATCCTTGGATAGCCGATGTATTTGAAGCTAGTGATGTAAATAATCACTATCATCGTCACACCTATAGTGCCGGTTCTACCACATCCAAACATCCTCCATCTTTGTAGAAAATATCGATTTTAAACAAGACCTACTTGATTCTTGGACTGCTGGATTTTGGTACAGACCTAAGAACTGTTATAAAATGGTCATAACCCTTAAATAGTACATACAGTCTGTCAATAATAATACTTTAATAGTTTGTAATGAAAATTTTGAGCCACTTTCTTGGTATATCATGAAAGTAGTGTCTTCAAAGATTGGTGGACTCAAGAATCAGTTTTTACAATAATAATTAATAAAAATGATTAAATTAAAATTTATATATATATATATATATGGATAACTTTGAAGTGTATATAATGCCCAATCCAAAGGTTATTGCTTTTTAGATATAAATAATAATAAATCATGCGTAATTCTACAAGCGAAAGACTAAATTTTTTGTGTGATGTGTGTTGCAGAAGAAAAGATATTAATAACATAAAAAAAATAATTTAATAAAAACTGTTAAAGTTGTAGAGTTTCTTTTCTAAAATCTTCTAAAGCTTTTAAAGCTTTACCACTTGTAATACTTTCACGAGCAAGTTTAACCCCATCTTTAAAATCCTTAGCGATACCTGCTACTACTAATGCAGCTGATGAATTCAAAAGTATAAAATCTAAAATTGCTCCATCATTAATATTATCGTTAGTAGAATGATTATCACTATTTTTTTTAGAAAGTAATCTTTTTAATAATTCAGCATTATCTGTTGACGTTCCGCCTTTTACTGAACTTATGGGATGACTTTCCAGTCCAAAATCTGATGGTGTAACTGTGTATTCTTCAATTTTAGAATCCGAAAGATGCCAAACCTATATATATATTTTATAAAAAGATTTATATATATTTCTTGGAAATAATAATATTTATTTATTATTTTTTTACTCACAAAAGTTTCGCCTTCAGGACTAATCTATTATTTTAATAATAACAAGAATAAATTAAATCCATGTATGTATATTTTTATATAATAGTTTTTTTGTTCAAATTTCAAAATATTAAAATAAAAACCTCGTCTAAACCAATAGCACCATGAACAACCATAGCTTTTTTCACCACACCTCTTAATTTCAAAGACTCGACTACTAAACTACCCAAATATTTTGAATGAACTCCGATAAGCACATATCTAGGTTTTGCAGGGTTAGTTAATGGACCAAGAAGATTGAAAATGGTCGGTACACCTATTTCACTGCGTGACTGCGCGACATTCTTGACAGCCGGATGAAAAACTTGTGCAAATAAAAAACAAAAATTTGTTTTATTTATTATCCCGGCAACTCTTTCAGGTGTTATTTTCGAGATTTCACATCCTAATTTTTCTAAAATATCTGCAGAACCTGATTTAGATGATGCTGCTCTATTTCCACACTTTTTATTATTGGTTATTAATAATGATTGAAAAATACAAAATTTTTTAATTTAACTTAGTTTTTTTATATACATACTTTGGCAACTTTACACCCTGCACCAGCAATAACTATTGCTGAAGCAGTTGATACATTAAAAGTATTCATTCCATCACCACCAGTACCAACCACATCAATGAGCGAATCTTGTAATCCATTATTATCATCATTATTATTAAAAGTTGAAAAATCTATTTTTGCAGCAGCTTCAAGCATTGATTCTGAACAAGCAGCAATTATTTCTGGATCATTATCTTTACCGTTTAGTTTTAAAGCTACAAGAAATGCCGCAATTTGAGATGGTGTAATATGAGTAGGCCGTTGCATCATTCCGGAAAAGACTATTTGTGCATGCTTTGGCGTAAAATCCTGTGGTCGTAGAATTAATGTTTTTATAATGTTAGTAATGTTGGTAGTTTGCAAGTTCGACATTTTTTTTAAAATTGTTCAATGTTACACGATTTCATGCTGATTTTGGGGCTCATTTCGGTTTTTTTTTTTTTGTTTAATATTAATATTAATTGGCGATTCTTTTAAAGAAAGAGTGAATTTTAATCAGTGATCAGCGGGGTGCATTTGCAACATTTTAAAATCACTCCTTCTTAAACAGATCACCAATTAAAGACTATTTCATCCTCCACAGATCCTTCTAGCTAATTGAATATCCTTTTTCATCTAACACGTTTATCATGAATAATAAGAAGTTTTTTATTAGTATTAATTATAAAGACCATACTATTTTTGAATTATTAATTTATTAAACTTATGCATTCTCAAATAAGTAGACCAGATTATACATGCAGCCCAAATTGGTTTGGTGATTTCAATGGTCAAAATTATTCCAATTTTGATGGTAGATAGTAGAAATTAATTATGGCACTCACTATTAAAAACATAAGTGTAATACCTCTTTACTACATGTGTAACCCCCTTTATGACAGTTTGGGCTGCAACAAAACCAGACAAAGTGAACATTGGGCACATTTACTATTAAATAAATGATTGCTCCAATCAAAATTTTCGTAATTTGTAAATTAAACCTAATAATAACAATGAGTTGCAATGGCCAAATCATTGAGAATCATAATAATGATGATGACAAGTACAAAAAGAGATAAAAGATATCATTATTTTAATTATAAGTGACAACAATAAATCCCCACCATTAGCAGATAGTTGACTATAAAACAAGATCTTGACATTGTTTGTTATATGACTTAACATTTCCTTTTGTACCCATTAAGTAGCTAACTGTATTATCTTTATACAAGAATCTATTGATCAACAATCTCTTAGATGTTGTCTTAGATTTATTGATTTAAAATCATCTTTGTATAGATTATCAACATAATTGTACATCCAGACCCTATGTTCCAATATGTCTTCATGTTTAGGAGTAGTGAAGAAGTTAATTAATCTTTTGTATCTTAAAACAAATGACTGAATGTTTATATTAATTTTTAATGCCTTATTATAACTAATTGTAATGTGTGAGCATTCAAGTTTTGAGCTAATTTTTTAATAACTCATATTGTATATCCATATCCTATAAATATTTATAGATTGATTCCCTATTATTTAAGTAGAATGAATAAGAAAATAATAAATAATTAAATCTGTTTATTACCTTGTTGTAAAATGTAACAAGCATCTCTGCTTTTAAATTCTTATAAATATATAGCCCTAGTACTACTTTGTTGATTGTGATTTTAAATATATTTATTGTTATTTATTCTCTTTATCATTAATAATTTCCTTTGCTTTAGCATCATTTTGAGTGTCAAACCAAGAAATTGCTCTTAAAGCCATGGATATTGTTACCGGAATTAGGTTTTGACGCAGATCTTTTGGTCGAATCTCTTAATTCCGGGACAATTTAATTTTTTTTTCTTTATTTTTATTTATATTACTATTTAATCCATTCTTATTTTCATTATTTTTATTTTTTATTAATTCTATTATTTATTAATTCTATTACGTGTATAATCATCTGAATTTGTGTTACGTCCCGTCTATTTAATTTTTATTAATTAATCCGTAGCACATTCATATTTATTCAATAGAGATTAATGACGATTATCCCAGACTGGACGAAATCTCCCAGACCGGGCAGAATCTCCCAAGTACAAAGTGGGCAGATTCGCCCAATTCGGGCTAATATGTAAAGAAGAACTTGGTTTCGATCCTAATGTAAAAGTAACTTTGTTATAAGTTAATTAGTTTCGACTAAATAAAACTAAATAAATAAAATAGAAATATTTTATTTAAAACTTTTATCTTCTTTAAACAAAATTATTCGCTAATACCAAAATCAATTCGTTGACCCCCTATTCATTCTGATCCACGCAAAAATAAAAATAATTGTTATCACCAATTAAAACACACTCTCCCAAATTTAATCGGTGACAATATTGTGATTATTAACTTTAATCTACATATAAATAAATATAAATAAGTTCTTTTAATACTTGAAGACAATAATAAAAAAACTTTTATATACTTGTCATTTTTTATTGCATTATTTTCAGATAAAATACTGAGTATATGTAATCATCATCTTCAATGAAAATGAATCTATCTGGACTTGGTTCATATTTATATCCATTATTTGTTTCATTATAGAATAAAAAATGGTTGCCTTCTCCAAACTTCCATGGAGGGGTTCTAAAGAAATAAAAAATAATTATAAATGTTAATTCTTAAAGTTTTATATTGTTGTTTGTATTAGTATGGTTTTTTTAAGCAGCTGATCATCGTCTCTATTAGCAGATCCTAAATGCAATAAAAAACTATGGAAAATAATAATAAAATTACGTGCATTGTTTGAACTTTTATAATTCTTTTTTTGGTTAATCTCTCACAAAAATCTTGTAGATACAATGGAATAGTGTTTCCCCCGTATGGTCCATCATATTACCTTCCGATCTACTTTTTGTTTTTAGTATCAATATGGCGTCCATAAGAATCTATATTATTTATAATATGATCTTCTTCTATATCCTCCAGAGTATACATGTGGTTAATAATCACTTGACTCAATCAGGAGACTTTTTGACGCAATTAATTGAGTCATATGAAAACATATGAATAATTGAGTCAAAGCCAAATTAATTTTGACAACATGTATACTCCAGGGTGAAGGAGTACAACCTAGTTTTTTGTTTTGAATTTTGATTGAAAAATGTATGTTTATATGATCATCACAAGTTGCTTTATAATTAAACATATGTCAATAAAAATAAAAATAAAAATAAAAATAAAAATAAAATAAAAATAAAAATTCTATGTGTTAATTAAGCATTACATTATTGTTGGAAGGAAAACCAAATGGTTATGCTTACGTGGTTTTTGATAATAGTTTATTAAAACTTTTGAAAGTTTTCTCGGTCTTAATGGATTCGAAAGACCAGCGGTTGTACTTCCTTAATGATTTTTAGTAACAAGGCAAATATTAACTCTTGATGATAGTTCTTTTAATGCAGTCTATTATGACAATAAAAAAATATGTTAAAAAAAATTCAAAGCTCATTAGCCTATTTAAATTTACATTATTGTTTAGTTCCGACGATTGATTTTCTATAAATCAATGTCAAAGTTTAATCCAATAACTACAATGACAACAAGTGGCGATAACCGCCATTCGGCTAGTCTTTTTCGTTTTTTTCTTTGGTTCTTCTTTTTCGATTTGGGGGGAGAAAAAAAAGTTATTTGATCGACAAACGTGTACAACTAGTTATTTATTAAAAAAAAGCCATATGATATATGACGTCATTAGCTCTACCCTTAATTAGAAGTTGCATTTTCAGCTGACTGGTTAAAAGTTATTTATTTAAAAATGCTTTGTATCATTTTCTCTTAGCCATTTGGTTATAATATATTCGAAAACAAAAAAACTGGCCAATTTGTTATACTTGATTTTATCACATGTTTTGATCTGCAACTAAAGTCATATGTACGTGTAAGTTATATAATTGGTATTACACGCGAATCAAATTTTTTTAAATCAGATAAATAAATTTCATCGAGTCCATAAATTTTTTAAAAAGACCATGTATAATATATTCCAGCTAGTTTGTTATGGAGTTTTATTGCTTTTTATTACTTGGATTTACTTTATTAAAAGAAATTTAAGAAATTTGAAATCATGCAAACAAGAAAAGTTAATGTGCAAAGAGTTATTGCTTGATGAGGATGAAAATGAAAAAAACAAAAGGTATTATTATTATTTTATATTTAAAGAAACATTATTACTGTTGCTATTAATATTACTATTTTAAATGTTTGTGTAATTAATATTTGGAATCATTGTATATATTTTTTTTTGAGTAGCGAGCATTATTTTTATTACGGGGTTACCAAATATGAAATTAAAATCAATTACAACGTAAATCTTCATAAAAAACGTCATCGTAAAATAAGAAAAAATATCAATGATGATGGTAATGATGATAATGATGATAATGAAATTGTCAATTGTACGTCAACAATATCTTCTTCATCAGTAACATCTGTTCCATCAACGCCATCATTATGGGTAAAGCCAGTTTTATTGACAGAAGTACCAAAAGATCAAGAACCATCATCACCAGTTTCTCCAGAGAAAAAATCAAGAATCATTTCCACGCCACAAGGTGGTTCAATCAAATTAAAAAAAATGTCAATCGAAGATCGTGAGAGGTGGTTTGAAGGTTAGATGGGGATATCATTGATCTAAGTGAATCTTATTTAATGTTTTAATATCTTATATACATACTTTTTTTTTTTTATTAAATAGCATTTAAGAAACCACATGAGCGTAGTCAACCAATGATCAGTTCACAATTGGCTGGATGCAATAGAAAGGTCTTTTTAGGTGTAAATAATAAGGTACCTGTGCTTTCATCTAGATATGTTGTTGGAGTAAATTCACCTACCAAAAATGTTACAAGCACTTGATAAAATAATGATATAACCCAGTAATCTTATATATGTATTTCTATAATTTGTAAAGTTTAGGTGAGAAAGACAATGTAAATAAAGATGACAATAAAATAGTTTTTCTGATTTTTAGAATAGTAATTTCTTTAATGTTGATATTAATGTTGCTCCAATTGACTGACTACATATGAAATTCAGGTACATGGAAAGCACGCTAACCAAATTTAGAAATTTATTAGATGCACCTCTACAAATACTTTCCTCCCAACAATTACATACTGTGTTACACAATTCCTATAAATTAATTAATTGCCATAGTTAATTTTTTATCCGATTTGCCAAATTATCAATTTTTCCATATTGTGTTATCTCCACAAAAGTCTCATTTCGCTGTATTAACTCCATCAATCATTTTTGCAATTTGTTTTGTTTTGTATAGGGATGGAGGGAAGGGTTTCTGTAAATTTGTCAGTTTTTTTAGACGGTGGTGCAGATCGACATCATCGATTGACTGACGCGTAATTCTATTTTTTTTAATGATAACACACTAATTAAAATGTTTAAAAAAACTACAACTTTTACAACAAATAAAGGAACGTTTCAGAAAAGGCTTTTTTCGCCAATACAAATAAATCCATTAAAACAACAACCACAACATCTAAAATTGCCATTATTATTTTTAGTTAATAAAGAGAAACAATATCAACAACAACAAAAATCAAATAATAATTTTATCTTTAAAAAGCATTATAGTCGGGAAACTTCAACGTATTTCAATAATGCTTATTCAAAATACTATGCTCCACGACCTGAAGAAATTATTGAGTTTCTTTGTCGCCATCTCCAGTATCCAAAAAAAACAGACAAAGATGGCTATGTAAAAGTTAAATGCCCAACCTGTCGTCCAAAAAAAGACAACTATTATTCAATGATGATTAACACAAATAATGGAACTTTTGATTGTTTATCTTGTTCAGAAAAGGGTACTTGGTATGACTATTTGCAGATGTTAAATAAAACCGAATCATATAGAATTACTGGTTCAAAAAAAAATCCTTTCGAAGAATCAAATACTGAATTTACAGAAGTATCAAACTATAAAAATGAGTTATCAAACCATTCAGAAGTTATCGCTCATATTTTAGATAAATTTAAAATTACTTATGATACATTAGGACATTATGAAGTTGGTATGGCAAGATATATTAATAACAACCCTACAATTCCAAATATTCCTCAAAGTTGGTTAAAGGGCCCAGAAGATCTAAAATATGGTGAATTATGTATAACATTTCCAAGAACTGCTCCTTCTTTTAAAGACTTTAAGGATTATACGGAATTAAAAACATCAATAGCAAGAATTAAAGCCTGTTCAGTTAATAGAGATTTTGAACTAGTAGCATATGATCCGCCATCATTTCGGGCAGGTCTTTTTGGATATCATTTGGCATCATTAGAAACTGAAGAAGTAATATTAGCTGGAAATGAATTTGATGCAATGGCAGCATACCAGGAAACGAAAATACCTGCTTTTTGTTTACCTACGGAAAGTAGTCAATTACACCTTCAAATTCTTCCTTTGTTACAAAGATTTTCTAAAATTTATGTTTGGTTGGATGATGATGTTATTGGTCAAGATATGTCAGAAATGTTTGTCAAGAAATTGGGGATTGAGCGTTGTTTAATAGTGAATACACGTTGTGGTAATTTAGACGGACCACTCAATGCTAGCCAAGCATTAATAGCGGGAAGAAATCTGAATCAAATACTTTCTAATTCTAAGCCATTACCACATGAGCAAATCATTAATTTTGATCACATTAAAGATGGAGTATATAGAGAAATCATTAACCCAGATCAAGTTCGTGGTGTCATGTCTAATGATATACCTGCATTAAATAAAACACTTAAAGGGCATCGACCAGGTGAAATGACTATTTTTAGTGGTGGGACTGGTACAGGAAAAACTACTGTTTTAAGTCAACTTTCTTTAGATTATTGTATATCAGGTGTTAGTACATTGTGGGGAAGTTTTGAAATTCCAAATGTAAGATTAGCAAAAAAAATGTTGCAACAATTTTCTGAAAAGGATTTATCACAACATCCTGAAGAATTTTCTGAATGGGCTGCAAAATTTCAACAGGTAATAATGATTTTAAAAGTATAATTTCATATTATTCATACTTGTTTGAATTAATTATTATTGTGTTTTTATTATTAGCTTCCAATGTATTTTTTAAAGTTTTTTGGTAGTACAGAAATTGATACTGTCATCGAAGCAATGAATCATGCAACATTCGCTTACGATGTTCGACATATAATCATAGATAATTTACAATTTATGACATCAGATTTGTGTCGATTCAATGATAGGTGGGAATATCATGATCGTACCATATCAAAATTTCGTAGCTTTGCAACTGAGAAAAATGTTCATATCACATTGGTAGTACACCCTAGGAAAGATAGCAGAGATTTATTAGATATTAATTCAATATTTGGATCCGCTAAAGTGTCTCAAGAAGCAGATAATATTGTTATTCTTCAAAAAATTGCAAGAGATGAGGGCGAGTTTAGATATTTGGATATTAGGAAAAATAGGTGATTATTTAAAGAAAAACAAAAAAAGCAAAAATGATTAATAATAATATATTATTGTTTTTATTATAATAGATTTGATGGCACACTAGCATCTATACCTATCGAATTTGTACCAGAAACTTTGAAGGTGATATTTGTTGATTAAATCCTATTATAAATCATCGTTATCATAATTCATAATTATATTTATAATAATTACAATGTATCTTGTTAATAATAAATAGATTAGACAAATAGATGACCATTTTAATCCTAATTCGCGAGGAAAACCAAGTTGTAAGTAAAGCCAAAAAAAAAAAATGGTTAAAATCATCATCATCATCAGAATTTATAATTTTTTAATTAACTATTTTATATTTTATATATTATGAATATGTATACATATAGCACATTACAAATCTAGGCCAGTAAGAAAAGATCCATTTGCATATACTATAAAAGATCTGGATATGATTCAATTACAGGAGATGATTTAGTTTATAATAATTTAATATGTAAAATTATTTTAATTAAGCAGAATGGATATAATTCCATTATTTTTGAAAAATAAACAAAACGAGTATTATGTCACAAAGTGTATACCAACATGATATTAATGGCGTTTTAACCAAACAAGCAATTGAAATTTATTTTAATCTAAGCAATTACCGTTCATTTATTCGAAAGGTAAATTTTAACTTATATATAAAAGCACATGCCAGAAAAGACGTTACCATCACAGCCATCATCAACATCATTATTGTCATCAACTGTTTCAAAACATGATGGATTTTGCACCAAGTGTAATAATAGCCATCATAACTTTTGTCTTCCTCAATCTTCACATTCTCATCCTTTGAATGTCCAAAATCATCCTGCCAGTTATGCTAATTGGAACAGCTGCTACTGGAGTTAATTTCGTATAAAAGACCATGCTCGAAAATGTGGTGGAAGATGAAGGCGCAGCATAGAAGATATTGTACAGTTAGAATGAATATCATTCTCCACCAACGTAGAATTATCTATGGCAAGATCAAAGTACATGTTGCTGATGAGTATGCATCAACCCATCAAGTGTGGCTACACTATAAAGCCTCAGGATACTACCATTCTCAAAAACTTACACATCAACCATCAACATCAATCAAATTTATGTTGGAGATTCTAAGTATCAAAAGTATCCAATGGGAGTCTCTCTTGGTCATGGAGATTTAACAAAATAACCAGTCATCCATTAAATCACATTATACCACTTATGTCAAACACAACAAAAAAATTTTTGTTGATAAAATCAAATATTAAATTCCTTCGTTGTTTTTATTCATGATAATGAAAGTGAAAAGTTAAAAATAACCTTGGGAAATCAAGGGAATAATAAATAAAGATGTATATTGGTAGATGAAAAAACAATTTATTATCTCTTTTATATATTATTTATTATTACATTCTATATATTATTATATATTAAGTATATATATTAGTAAGTAAATGGGAAAATAATTACGGATAAATGGTAGAAATCTACATTGCCAATTTTCCCCATCCTCGAATTTCTGGGACCACAACTCTTTTACCCTTAAATTCCACGATACCCCTAATCAACTTTTGTCCGGCGACCTGCGCAACAGGTTTTGCCACAGGATTACCGGCCAACGCATCACGTTCTTTCTGGTCACCTTCTTTCAATCCTTTAATTCTTCCTTCACAAAGTGGACATTTATATCCTGCATTAGGATTTTCCTGCAACTCCTCGTATCTATTTGGAGTGATGTCAAGATCGCATCTTACGTGGATCCATCGATCGCACTCATCACAACACACCATGTCACGATCTTCATCTTCATTTTCTTCCATTGCTCCTTCTTCAGAAAATGTTTTCAAACACATTGGACAAAATCTATCTGCTATGAAGTTTAAGCTACACTTGTTACATATTGTAGCTAAATAGATCGGATAATTGGAATTTGGCTGGCCCGATGTTGCTTCAAGATGAAGATAATCCTTTGCTGCATTATCCAACGATTTGGCCTTTTCACCACACGAATTACATTGTGCGCAAATTGAACATAACCATGGACCTAATTATTTCAATAAATAAATAAGCAAAAAATCACAAATATATGTTAAATACCCATATAATATATGTGATATTGATAATAATAATAAGCAATTAGCTACCTTTCGGAACTTCAGTAACTTTTGGTTCACTACAATTAATATGCCAACCACGATCACAATCATCACAAATTAGTAAAGTAGCTTCATCACCTGATGTTCTACATACAACACAAGTTTTACAATCATTACATTGCCACGGGTAACTTTCCATTGCAACAATTAGTCTAGTCGTAGTAAGCCCTAAACATAATGGATGATAACTACGATTACAATGAGAACATTTTGTAGTATATTCTTTTGAGCATGGTGCACCATTAATCGGAGTTGTGTTATCAGGCGCAACTGTTAAAAAGCACATTGCACATGCATTTTCTGGAAGCTTTGGGATTAATTGTGGTGCTGGAACTGATGCGATTAATGTTGCTTTTTCTGGTACTTCTGGCGCAATGTTTGTTGTTGTTATTGATGATGATGTATAATTTGTATTAGACAGTGGAAATTGCATAGGCGGAGATTTTATAGATGATTGTAGTAGGCTTGTATTTGTATTTGATTCATTCAAATTTTTTGGTACAATTTCAGGGATTTCATGACCGAAACGTGTTCGATGTCTAATTCAAAAAATTCTTTAATTAATTTTCAAACATAAAACAAAAAAAATCAGTATATAATTTTTTCATACGATTTACTTACAATGGATATGATGATTGGAATTGATGGTCCATTAATGCAATAGGATATTTATCCTCCTCATAATCAATATCCATAAAATCATCATCTTTGATATTTTTATTCATATCATCAATAATCTTACGAATCTCAGGTGGCACCACTTCTGAAACTTCTGGACTTAAACTTTTTAAAGGATTAAAAGATGTTGGTTCAAATTTAATTTCAGGAATTTTTGGCGATTGGTTTCTTCTATTCAGCGGTAAAAAAAATATAGGTTTTGAAATTGTTTCCACTTTGATTCGAGTTGGTTGTGTTGCCTGTGGTACTTGTTCAATATTGGTATGGGCATCGTAAAATTTAGGTTTATCCTTACGATGAATTTTTAATCTGGTATTATAATCTCTGGCGTGAAGCGCTGATTGATACATCCATGAAGCTTCGTTTGCAAGATTTCGTGGTTTTGTTATTTTACTATTAAATTTTTTTGATAGGATATTGTTTGCATTTTCAGTTTCTGAATCATTGCCTTTGTCACTTAAATCATCATCATATCTCAAATTTGATTCAAAATAATCGTCTTTTCTTCTTTTTCCATTCTGGATTATTCTTGAACCAAATAATCTGTATGTAGACCTAGCTGATACCAAAGTAATATTCCTACTACGATATGCAGCGGGCAAGATTCCTATTTTGATTAGAAACTCTCTTTCATCTTCAGTTGCAAAAACTCGTTGTAATGATGGATTTCTTAAGAAAAATAAATAACTATCACGAAAACCCAAAACTTTTGCAGCATCCATTGATAACATATACCATGTATTATCACTGGGCAATTGAAAAACCGGCACTTTAAAATTTCTGCCTATATAAAAATAGTAATTATGATAATTATAATTACTTTGCATTTTTAAAAAAGGTTTAGAGCTTAAAATAACAAAATAATAAAATTATTTTACCTCCTAATAAACCTCCATCTTTGGTGATCTTTTTCTCTCCTTTTTCATCAAGTATTTCATCATAATTTAATTGATTTAAACCATTCATTCCATTAGTTGTTGTTGAACTTTCACCTTGAGCATATTCAAATCTTTTTGAATCATTGTTAATAACCCTTTTTTGTCTTGAAGGGTCTTGTGGAGCATATTTACGTGGTCTACCTGGTCTTCTTTTTACAGGCTCTTGTGATCCTTGATCTTGTTTCTGATCTTGATCTTGCTTCTGATCCTGATCTTGTTTCTGATCTTGATCTCGATCTTGTTTCTGATCTAATTGTTTCTCTTGCGATTGTTCTTTATTTTTAGGTTGTTCTTCCTCTTGTTCTTCTTGTTCTTCCTGTGTTGTTTGAGGTAATGTCGTTGTTGTTGTTTGTGGAGATGGTGATTTTGCCTTTTTTCTTTTTGGCGAAGATACAGGGCTTTGTGAGTGTGAATCTTCTGATTTTATTTTTGTAGAAGAGGTATCTGATTTGATATGAAGTTTAATCCTTTTTGAATTTTTATTGTTCATTACTGTAAAAATTTATGTTACCAAATTTTTTTTTGTAGGACACAATCTCATTAGTGATATTTCCATATTATGCCATCCAGGATCTACTGAAAATCTTGACATAAATAGTTAATAAAAAATATATATATATATATATAAATAAATTCAATAATTAATGGAAGAATAATTTTTTAATATTTGATTTTTTTTTGATCCTTTGATATGGATAATCAATCTAATTTTTCTTTATCTCATATTATACATAATCTTGAAAGACTTGGCCTACTATGTATTTTTGTAGCTTATTGAATCTTGACCAAAATTGAACAAATTTATATGCAAAAGAAAACCTGAATTTTAATACGCATTATACCCAAATTTATATATTAATATAGTTAATTACATTATTAATATTAATATTGATTTTAAAATCACAATTTATTGACACTTTTAAAAATTATCTCTTTTTTGCATATATGTTTTTCCAATTATAATAATAATGAATTATCTAATATGCCTCAAATACCATTAATAACTGTAAATATTTTCTCTATGTGATATTAATCTATTCAGCAACATCCTTTCTTCAAATTCTATTCAAGAAGTAAAAATTCATTTTCTTTTGTTTATATTTGTCTTTAATATTAATAGAATAATAAATTTAACAAATTTTTGGACAGATATATATATATTTTTTTTATGTATGTATAATCATTCTTTATTTTTCCTAATTTAAATATTTAATTTTTT